TATATTATTTTATTATTATTTAATTTTTAATTTTTAATTAAAAATATGAGGTATCATTGACATGACATCTACGTGGCTGCCACGTCAACAAAAGTCAATGTTAATGTTGACTTCCGTTTAGTCAACCGTTATCTATAACAGTCAACGAAATCGTCAGGACATAAATGACACACATCGTAAGTTGTGACCTAAATGTCATATCGAATACTTTAGGACACAAATGACACAAAGTTAATAGTTCGGGTTTCCCAGTAGTATTAGTCCTTCTATTTTTAAGTATAATACATGTATTGTTTGACTTTGGTATGATATAAATATTCATTTGAAATGAATCATTAATTAATTTGGAGTATTTGAGAAGGAATGGAGCCAAACGATTGATAATCAAAATTAACACAGGCTAATAGATTCCAACAACCTCCCCAAATTGATGAGGATCTGTCATCATCAAATCGCAAGTAAGGTAAAAATGGCGACTAGCTGAAAAGGTCTTGGCAATGCTGTCAAAGCCGAGCCGGAGTATTACCCGGTAACGTGAACGGCTCGGTCATTAGTGGTCCAGCCGACATTAGACCGTTTAAAAACCGTTTGAGAACCGGTACCTAATAAACAGGCATCTATAATAGTAGACACTTCTTAATCATGCAAATTAACATTACAATCAACCAGAAATTTGCATCAATTAGGTTTAACAAAATTAACTTACCTCGAGCAGGAGGTGAGTCGGCTGGTGGGAGATGTTGCGGACTGTGGAGGTGAGATGGCTGGAGCAGGGCAGTGGCTGGAGCAGGGCAGTGGTTGGGGGAGATGTTGCGGCAGGAGCAAGGCTGCAGGGGGCTGCTTGCGACGACGGCGGGGAGCAGAAGCAACGATGGCGACTGGCGATGGCGCTGCTTGCGGCGATTGCGAGCTGCTTGTGCCGGGAGCGGGGAGCAGAAGCGACGATGGCGACTGGCGATGGCGCGCTACTTGCGGCGACGGGACGGAAGCGCTGGGGGCCTGGGGTGATTGTTGACGGCGGCAGGGTGGCGCCGCTCTCCCTCTGTCGTCTGTTCTACACTTCTACTTCTAGGTCGAAGATGGAGAAATAAAAGGAAAGTTAGGGTTTTGTTTGGCTGCCCAATTCCACGATTCCTTTTCTAATTTTTTTTTAAGGGTAAACCAAACGGCCGAACCGCACGACCGACTTGAGCGGCTCGAGCGGTTAACCGCTTCGGTCGCTCGCCGGCCGCTGTATAAAACCGTGGCGGTTAAATAGCTGATCCGAGCCGGTTTTATGGCCGGGTGGCGGCTTTGACGGTCCGGCCGGCCGGCTCGGTTCGGCTTTGACAGCACTGGGTCTTGGTGAAAATGTCACCAATAAGGTCCTCGGAAGCAATATAGAAAATACGAACAACACCATCCCGAACAAAGTCTCGAATGTAGTGGGCGTATATCCTAATGTGCTTAGTACGATCATGAAGCATCAAATTAGTGGCAATCTGAATAGCACTAATATTGTCAACGTACAGCTCCATAGAAATATCAACCCCGTTAAGCGCACACCAGTCTGTAGTTGATTGATGAGTATCAACACAACCAAAATAGTCATAATGAGAGAATGCCTATAAACGTGGCAATGATTAGAGATGAAACCTTACTAATGGATATATTAGTTAAGCCTCTTAAGCAAAGGTTAACAATACTTAACATTACAGCTCCAACCAAACCTTGATTAGTTGACTTCCACCAATTAAAAATGTTAACTTCACAATAGTTTCAACTACTTGTGTTCTTCTCCCATCTATCTCTTTGGCTTTCCCACTAAACATACTTATTCACCAATAAACAATCATTCGCCTAATTATTGTTGAGCTTTGCTTAAGAGCCGAAACTAATCTATCTGTACTACAAAGATTTCACACCTCTAATCATTGCCACGTTTATTTTCTGTCAACGTGAGAATATGAATACGCCGATGATAATTAGTGGTGAAATCTTGGTAATTATTCTTATATATCTACAACCCCTCTTCCATATTATGGATGCATTACTTGATAGCTATCTCAAACTTCAATTTCTTCCTTTTACAATGATATTAGCTAGTAGTTATATCATGATCTTCCTATGTTTCATATGGTGGTTTAAATTATATAATGAAGCAAAAGAATAGTGTGAATTCCTTTTTATTCTTAAGAAGAAAATCTAAAAACTTTGAGTGCAAGTGATCGCATGACTTTGACTTCTTCAATAAGCTAGCATTGTACGTACTGTGAGTTACACTAAGAATCTAAAGACACCTACAAATGCACTAACAAACTTATTTCCTTCTTTTGATAACTTTAATGAATTTGATTTAATTTGTAGGAAATAATTCATTTTATACATTTAAAGCGGGAGCTGCAGATAAGATCGTCAAGTAAGCGTTGCATACATCAATATTTGTCGAGAAGAACAAATTGACTTCACAAAATTTAAACCGGAAGTCCCATAAGTGGTAAGACATAAATGTGGTATGACACGCGGTGTGATTATGATGAATTGGGCAGAGTGTTAAGAAGGAGAAATGGAGAAGTTCATGTTCAACCGGAGGAAACCATCTCCAATCAATAAAAGTTGGGGATCCACATCATTCAGACGTGGCTACAGAATTATACTTGAAGAGCTGAAGGAAAAAGTTTGAAGTATTATGCATAAAGGTTGAAGTAGATCGGGTTTGGAATGCAAGAGAATGATAATCTTAGTTTATTTTATGTATATTTATGATAATGAATCACATAAGTTAGCAGAGCAACCGTCCGTATATATTTATATGTATGTGAATATGTAGTTGGTGTTTGAACTATTGACAATTTGATGGAATGGTATATGTCCATTTGTTTATGATTTGCAAAATATGTTTCATGATTTGTGTTCTTACTACAATTTCTGGTGTGCTTTATAAGACATGGTCCATGAAACCGTACCGGGAAAGTCAACAACAGGATATTTTATAGTAAGACTATAGTTTAACCCTAGTTCAACTGTTAGTACCGTTAAATACCACTTACCAGTTTAACCTCCGATACTGGTATTTGGTGATTGAACCGCCGGTACGGTACGATTTCATGGACCATGTTTTATAGTGCTTCTGGTAAGCTTTGTCATGCTTCTTGTTTGCTTTACTATCTAGTACTCATACTATGTTTTCACTATTTCTGGACTGAGTTCTGTTACATGGTTTGTCATATTTCTTATGTAGCATAATTTTTTTTTTATATGTTTCATAATACTTACAGTCTAACTTTATGAGTTTTCTATTATGCTTCAACAAACTTGTGCAACACCTCTCCACATTGATCGAGAAGGACTAGTGGTGGCGTCTCTTTCTCCACACTCGTAACAAGAGCCAAACAGTTCAATCGTTGGAGACTCGCGACGGTATTGAATATGCGGAGGAATGAGTTGCTAGCATAATGGAGCGTATTCAAAGGGCTCCCGCAAATAAATATGCTCCCAAGGCCTAATTAATGCAATCATCCAACAATTCGATACCAGAACAGATTGGCCAGCAATTGAGTCAATTCGGTAATTATACATCATGGCCGGCAACGACTTCCGCCAAAAAGCTTTTAATGGTCATCACTTTAATGAGTATCTGTGCATTTGACTATCCAAAACGTCAGTTACGGGAGGATTCTAACCGTTTCAGACTATGGTTGAAATCGACCCTTCAAACTCGTGGAGTACTGGAGTAAACTGCCTTAACCGATACCCTGTCTGCTGGAGACATCGAGAAAGCATTGAACTTTTATTCTTCAGACCTAGCCATTAGATTGTGGACTTTAGTGGGATTGAGCAACTTTATTGAGACCGCCCAGACTGTTAACTTTAGTCTATGGTGGCGACATGTCATGGTCTCTGAGACCGCCCCATTCCACATTCTCCAATGCATCTGTTTACTTTGGAGAATCTGGAAGTGTAGAAATAAAGTGACCTTCGAATTTTACCAACCTCATGTCCATTCCCTAGCCAGCCAGTTCTACAACCAGGTCCTCGAAGTCTCATATCTTCTCCTTCCTCCTCCACCCCGCAGTTCTATCCCAAACCATTCTGCCACCTCTTGGGTCCCTCCGCCAGAAGACTTTTTAGAAGATCAACTTCGATGCTGCTGTTTGTGCCACCGGGTATTCGTCTGGGCTTGTTATCCGTGGGTCAGACGGGCATGTGGTGTTGGCGTTTGGGCTGCAGCTTCAAGGAATAGTCAATCCTTACCTGGCAGAGCTTCTAGCCTTTATAGATGCTTTCTCCATCGTAGCCTCAAGATCCTTAACCCGCGTGATAGTCGAAGGTGATTCCGAAGTGGTCGTCAAACAAGTTCGTCAAGGCGTCATAGAAGTCTTGATTGGTGGTCCGGTGTTACGAGAGTGTCATCAGATCCTTAGCTCTTTGTCTGTTTGTATAGAGTTTAGGGCGGTACCTAGATCCGCCATCAGTGCTGCACATAGAGTGGCACGTAAAGCACTGCTTTTGTCTCGTTTAGAGGTAGAATCTTTTAATTTTTTGGGGTGGCTTTTTTAGAGTCTTTTAGGGATCCTTGGTAGAATTGTAAGTTTAACTTTTTTCCTATATTGATATCACTCAGAAAAAAGAAGAAAAAAATCCCAATGTAATCAAAACTTCCCATCCACCTTCAGGCTCTAAAGTCAGCGGCCATCTCCATGTTGTAGTGAGCATAGCAGCCGTAATGCCCATGTTCCACACATTGTATTGTTTATAGCAACTCTATCCTGCTTCATTGCATTGAGTAGGGACAATCGCAGATGTTCCAAGCAAGCTCCCCCAGTAGGCCAGCTAACCTACCAAAATTTGGCAGTTTGGACTACAACGCAACACTAAAACGTGTGCTTCTCATAGGAGATTTCAACACAGCTATGACAATCGAGAAAGATATCTGAAGGAGCACCAAGCGTTCATCGAAGATCGAGAAAGATACCAGACCAAAATGTGGAAGCAAGCACCAGGGGAAGTGCAAGCAGAGTAGGAGCAAGGCTTTCCAAAGGGCTTGAACCATAACTACTACATTCTAAGTTGAGCATCAAACCACTCTAACAACCTGTGAACTATGAACAATCACCATGGCCGCATTGAATCATAGCATAGTCACTCAGAAAGAGCCAACGAAAGGCAAAAACCGCCTGCTCAAATGAGAAGGATAACCATGAAAAGAGAAGAAACGAAAATACCAACCGAAAATAGCCTTTACTATACACTCACCCTGTGTATTTGAGAACAAAAGAACTCCCCAGTTGCAGCAGTTCGATGGCTAGTTGGTGTGGCTCGAGATTTTCCATCAAAACATGCTACAGGTGCAAAATTTCAGCTATGTACAACGAGGGAGTTCTTTTTCTGTTAGTTTCCTGTATTTACAACCAAGCTCCCCAGCCTGGAAACATTTGGCACAGGCGCTCTGGATCAATCGCGTCTTGAATTAGTTGCTGAACCTGAAAACAACCCAAAATTAAAACTGAGCATCTACACAGGGAAAAATGGCACATTCTCTCATCCCCAGAGTCCTAAAAGTGAGCTTATTGTACCTGTCCATTCACACTTCTCAATTCCCCTTCTTCATACCCATCTAGCTTTTGCTTCACCCTCAATAGCGCCCGAGTCGCATCCTTGTTCCCCTCACTTTCTTCTTCCGAGTCTTCCAAGCTAGTCTCAAGATCTTCATCAGTTTCCTATACACAATGAGTAAGAGAAGGTTAGCTCTACCCAGTTGGATACACCTTCAAAGTCCAGTTTCAGAAACTCTTACCTTCTGGCGCTGCAAAGCTTTCAGAGGAGACAAAGCCCACTTGTACAAAGGGTCATGGATAAACACCTACAACAACAAAAAAATCTCAACATTTTTGGAGAGTTTTACAACAGGGTGCAGTCAAAATTTTCGCTTTACTTAAAAAATATTATACTTCGATAATGGTCAGTAATGCTTCTTTGTTCGTCCGCATCACTGACAGAGTTTCTTCACAACATCTTCTGAAAACACCTTCAACTCCCGTAACACCCATGCCATCGATCACATCTCTTGTAAGCCTGAATGGAACCTGCCATAGTACAATTTCGGCCAACGGCTCGAGTTCAAGGATATCTATGCCAAAACAAATCAATATAAGCCAGCAATAAGAGAGACAAACACAAGGGATAAATAAGGGCAAACCCGTTCAGGTGTTTTCAGCATTAGCCCTTGTTCAAAAGCAACTCCAAGATCTATGTGTACTACTTCTGCTGTAGCCTGATCAATCAAGATATTCATAGAATGCCGGTCACCCAGGCCAACAATGTAACCGACCTGAAAAATTAACTAACCATGAGCAATTGAATTGATACTTAATAGTTAATATTGCATCACCACAGAAAACTACTGTTCAGTAAAGTATGTGGGGCAATTTCATTGTGAAAACACATAGCAGAGTCTCTCGGCTGAATTTACATAAACTGGTTCAGTTCCCTAAGACATATAATATGTGCCGGGTTCCATGCTAAGGAAATTAGAAAAGCTAACCATTGAACTTGTAGCAACACTCCTAGTGTAAGCAAGTCTCTTGTCAAACCAGTCAGCTGGCTGCAGAAACCTCTCCAAAAAGAAGTGATGCATAACAGGCCTGCATAAGGGATGCGCCAAATTTCAGGTGGAGTGTGCAATCGATAAACTGAAATTCACACAATGGAAGATAAGCGAACCTGAAGTTCTCACAAACTTCCTGGAATCCATTACGTTTATCCTTTTCCTGTCAAAAGGTTGCTATGAATTCATGAGAGATCTAATGGAATAATGTTACGAAAATAGATATTGCCTTACAAATGAGTAAAGATCCCATTTTTCTTTCTCCAGTTGTAATGACACATGTTCTGAAACGCAAAATGCTAAATGGTCTTTCACAAGAGCTCCACTATGGAAATGAAAGGACTAATCCTTCATGGTTATCTAAGAAATCAGCAGTTGAATGCCTTTACAACCTAACCAAACAATACTATTTCGATCTATAGCTTATACTTCAAAATTAAAGGACTAGTAAATCCAAATCCATTCAAAGCTTAGCAGTACCAAATGAAAAAAGGAGCATCCTACAGACACCTTCAGAAGTACAGTTACTGTTCAGAACGTGGCCTCTGACTTTTCGAACCTTCTAATCATAATGGGACAAGTGACTTACATTTGCCATGTGCTCTCGGCATTTGAGAAATGACCAGTCCCCAAATCCATAACGACCATGGGCACCACCATTTCTTGTGCTGAATATTCCAGACAACAAATAAGCTAGCAGTATAAGAAAAACTGGTGGTTTACCAAGGCAATAACAATGCAGTGCACCAACTAACCTTCCTATAAGATATTCTCCAACAGGCAGTGTGCCATTAACCCATTCAAGCACCCCCGCACTTGGAGTGAAAGGAACAACCTAGTTTTGGCAAGATGAAGGTAGAAATGAGCACTTGGAGTGAAAGGAACAACCTAGTTTTGGCAAGATGAAGGTAGAAATGATTGTCTTCGCGAAACAATATTACCCAAAGAGCAAAGCACATTTGGGGAAAAGGATAGCAACATAGATGGTCACATGCATTATTCTGACAGAAGAACCCCAAAAAAAGGACGCATTTCTAGACATGATACCTTATACGTGCGAACACCCAATCTTCTTTTCCATGTGTCCCTATTATTTTGTAAGAAAGTATTCACCAGACCAAAAAATTGTTCCATTACCTGAAATAATCAATCATAAAAGACCAAGTCACCGGCATGCACATATGCTTCAAGAATTGGACGGCAATATGCCACCCCAACATCCAAGCACCTAAATGGCGGCATAGTCTTGAAATCATATAAATATTTGAGCAATAATAGCTAGCAGTTATTGCAAGAATCAGAGGGCTGTATTTTAACATGCTCAGTATTGTACTAGGATCCGAGTACGGCAGGGAAGAAATATGATCACCTTCAAAAAGTACATAGTAGAAGTCAAATGAAACTACTGTGGATGCTTACCGCATCTTGTCTTAGGTCATCATTTCCAGATTTAGCAAGCTGTTTATACCTTTTACCATCAGAACCTACACACTCAACAACTTTTGGAGCATTGATGCCATTCATTATCCTGAAAATTTGAAATTGCAGTAAGTAATTATGCCTTGGTAGGTTACACACAGGAAAAAGACTAAAAGCAAAAGGGAAGAGAGAAACGACGGAATTTGTGAACTTGCAATTTCCTGAGCATCACATACATTACTGAATCTGCTAGTCCTTTGAAGTATGGAAATGAACCTTCAGGGTATTGGCAATTGTGTTCAACTGGAATATTAGCTGTCACCACAGGCACCTGAAGAACCCAAATGCTAAAGTTCTAAGGCAAGAAATTGTTGGACCAATATTTCTACCACAAAAATGAGAGACCACTTACAAGTTCAAGTTGACGAACACTGCGAATATCTCTTGGAAGGGGTAGTCTTTTATTGGTATCCTGAAAGAACAAGCAAAACATTTAGCAATTAGGATGTTGTTGCTACTTCACTAGATTTTGACCTTCGTATATTTGAAGAACAGATTATGCCTCGACTTTCCAGTTGGAAAAAGACACATTATTGTGGAACATGAGGATACCTCTCTCCTTGTTTCGAGCTCAGCAAGTTTGATATAGATGTCTACCATTTGTTTCATCTACACAATGCAACCATGATAGTCTTCATTAAGGAACTACAATGGACACTGAACAGTGAACAACTAAAAATAAAATCAATTACACAATTTACCTGTCTAATAATTCCACCATGATATGATAGTAACTCCTCAAGAAGATTCTTTGCCGCAAGTATTTTATCCACATCAACCACAAAAGAATTTCTATTCCGCTGTTTATCCTTGATGCGGTCCCCATTTGCCAAAGCTAGAAGCTACAAATAAAACAAGAAAGGGAAGTTAAGGAACAAGCACTGAAGTGTCTTAATCTGTATTTAGGCACAGTTCAAACACCAGCTCGTAAGCCATCAGACAACTTGTCAGGCTAAATACCTGGAAAATCGTGTGATACGGATGGTCTATGGCCATTTTCTTCACTAGAGAAACCAGAGCAGACTGCACCATCACAGATAGAAGAAGAAAACTTAAAAAATAGTAAATAATAAACAGACCACTACCCTAGAAATCTCTTAGCACCTTCTAGAAAAACATTACTCTCAGCAACCTGAAAGTCATGAGGCCCTATACTGTCCTTTGAGTTGCCCATTCTTGAAGCAATTTGATAGACCAGCGGAATGAATTTATAGGATTGGACCTGCAAAGTTCGTCTTCATGTTAAAAAGTAGATAAAAATGCATACTGTGATCGCTCTAGACTATAAAGTGAAATTAGGTATCTGAACCACGCATCTGATTTTTACCTCGTGAATTGTCTGTCGCATATTACTGATTACTTTTTCTCGAGAAGAAAGACTGAACCATAGGGAGATGAGACGGAACACCTGGAAGCAAATATGCAGAGACCAATGAAATTTGTGTTGGTAAACATAGAGCAAGCCTAAACAAACATTTTAACAGCTATATATTTAATAATCCATAAGTACTATTAAATATTTAACAGATGATGTGTTTTAACAGTACATACCACTCGAACATCATATTTATCACCTATGACCAAACAACGTTGATATCCTTCCAATGCTAAGCTGAGAAAATTGTCTCTGTCATCCTGAGCGAATTGGAAAGAAGTTATTAAACTACTTTGTTGAAACGACCTTGCACAGAATCAGTAGGGCAAGTGTCATGAAAGTATGTTAGCATACAAAACATGCATTATTGTGCAGAGAATAAATAGCACACCAGACATTATATTTACATAAATTAGTAGCTATTGGAAAAGGAAAGTATTGGAAGTTGTCATCCTATCAATTAAAGATGCAGAAGAAAGAAGCAGTCACATGACTCACATCCCGCTACTCGAGGCGAATAACAACAAGTGATACCTGAAGTTTTTCAGCTTCTTCTTTGTCCATTGAAAGTTGCTTCTGCAACTCCTGTATTTTCAATTGATAATCTACCTTTTCTCCCTAATGATACAAAAGATAACCGGAAAACAGGTGTCAAAGACAGTATGAGTATTTTCAATAACACAGCTGGAAGAACAGAATTAGATCAAGGATTCTCACCTTTGCAGAACTTTTTAGCCGTCTCACAAGGGCCTCCAACTCACAAGTCTGCGTAATAATGCTTAATTCAGATTAGCTGAAAGGGTTTGAATAAGTTTTCATCACGCCCACTTCCCTCCACTATATATGTGTGTGTAAAGATATACTGTCTATACCTTGTGTTTCCGCAATCTCATCGCAGCTTGCCATTCACTAGAAGTTAGCCTTTCCTCATATGATCTAAATAGTGCATCAGCATAGTGTGCAAGATGAAAATGAGCCTGGCTTCGCTTTCCAACAGAATTCTTGTTAGTGAAGGCCTGATCCTCAGCTAGTGAAACTGCAGGCTTCAGATATTTCTCCAAAATAGTTCTTGAACTGTATTTTCAGACCGACATTTTGAAAAGAGAAACATGAGCAAGTATAATAAAAGGAGAAAGAAGGGAGAATTGAACATTCTCAAGCTCAGATTTGGGCTTACCTGCTAGATCTAGTTTCTGCCAGCCACTTCCCTACCAAGCGATATACATTGGAGGCTTCTTCGTCTAAATGATAATTTTCTGAGACATACTTTGCAAGGCTAATAGCCATTTCATGCCGACCCTGGGCACGAAGCAACTTTGCTTCTTCAAGCTGCAACATATTAGACCATAGCAAAATCTTTAACATTGTTTTATTAAACAAACCAGCGAACACTTAATATTACAGCAGTATCTTTTCAATTTATTTGGCACAACTAAGCAAGAACAAGTTGAACATTCAGGAATCAAATTCATATTATAACTCGGGTTCTTAACGTATATAACAGGCAGGGGTTTCAGGTGTTTAATTTCAACACAACAAAAACACAAGCGCCTAGAAGATTAATATATTGAAAACTGTGATATGTATGAAGGTTACGAACTAGATTTTTATTAGAGATTGCCATCAATAAATGAAGTAGAAACTGTACACAGAAGGGTACAATTAGAGCGAGTTCATGCAGACTTTGTACACTATACAGAAGCCCAAGAATCAATCAGGTATATCAGAAACCTTTCAAGGGAAATTAAATCCGACATATACGGGCCATATGCAATTCATCCTGATATACGAAACTCCACAAGCAAAATTAGCTTTACCATGATTACCAAGTGCATTTATCATATTCCCACTACTTTAACAAATGCATGCTTAAAGAGGAAAATGCTTGTACCTGCGGTATAGTGGTCAAAAAAACAGCATGGATGTTCTAAAAATTTGTTAAGGAGAAGAAAGAGGTATACCCTCCCAAGCCAATAGAGAGACGAAGATGGTTCTCCAGTTCTGTCCCAAAAAGATTTTAGATCATGCAATGCAGCAGCTGCCTGAGAAAACCTGGAGCCCTGTCAACAAAAAACATCTGTTAGTGGACTGAAATCTGTGATTGAAAAAACACTAAAGTTGACATTATTACCTTGCGAAGAGTTGAAGCAGAATGCAATAGATGCTGCATTGAGCTTTCTTTACATTTCAGGACCTGAAGCAGAATTCGCCTGAATGCTATGAATGGTTCAATTAGATTCATATGCAGTTGTGTCTGTTCCAAAGTAGAGCTCCAGTCTTTATTCAACTGAGATAGCTACAAGTATAAAAGTATCTGGAATCAGCCAACCACGATAACCTCTATTTGAATTGAATCCCCTATTACTGACACAAAGGTAGTCACACAACTACGGGATAACTGAATAAAAGCCTTCATGGAAAGGCAGAACAATTAGTCTCTGCGCAAAATACTATAAAACCCTGAGATGTGTCTGAGAAAAATGAGGAGAGGATTGGAACTATGCATAATACAGGATACCAAAAAATGAGAAAAATGAGGAGAGGATTGTAAGCTTTAGATTTGTAACCACGTCAGTTCTAGGAATCCTTGCATTATGAACTAATTAGATAGGTTGCCACTTTCTAGTAAAACAACGACCCAGTAATAATTGCAAGCCAGGTTTTGCCAACTAACATAAGTCAGCAAGAACTACATCTACAGATAATCTATACACATCAAAATCAGCCTGTAAGACAATGATAGCGTTATAAAGTGGAACTATGTTCTTCTACAATAGTGCAACGATTCCATATGCTGAATGTAAGTTACGGTTCAGCTTGAACATCCAAAAGTTAAGTAATTTCAAGGTAATGTTATGCTGGTCACTACATCCATACCTGTCCCATGGTAGGGATTACAGGTTCCAAACACCTTTGTACCGGGTAGGTTTCAGCCCTTTCACTATATGACATCCAACGTATATCCCATCCCATGCCTAGATGATACAGAATCTGCACAAGCAATCAACCAATAATGGATGAAGAAATGCAGTACAGGTAACAAACAAAAATAAACTTCGCAACTCACAGCCTAACAACCCTACATACTACATGCAGCTAATCAGAAGAATTAAGGAAATGACCTATATTGACACAACAAAAACTTCGAGTGACAATGAACCTTTCTCAATGAAGTTATGAGAGTGAAATGGGCACTTGAATGCTCAAAAAAAAAAAAAAGTGCAGTCAGAGCTAGAGGCTGAACATGGTAACAGAATCCATATTATCTGCATGAACCCCACAGTTAAGCAAGAACCACCCAAGTTTAGATATTCCTTTCCACAGAACTGAGCTCAAATGCCCAAAATCAATTGATGTAGCTGACTACACTTATTGTTGTTCTAACAGCCACACTGCATTATTCATAAAAGAAAAAAACAGCTACACTGGCATAGAATAGGGTGTGATTACTAGCCATCAATGAGAAGCAACAAAAGACAAAATTGACATCCAAATAAGAACATTCTGATACAAATACAAAAAAAGATTACTCATACTTATTAGAATCATCCAACAATAACAATCAACAAGCAAATAAAAATCAGAAATCCACTATGAAGCATTACAAGCATCACCCAAGTAAATCAGGTGTTGTCTATCTGCTTAAAACTACAACGCTGCTGAGAAGTAATGTAGGTTGGTAATTTAAGGTACCTGAAGTTTAATGATAGTCGAGAAGATGTACTGAGTGCTCTCTTCACTGGCACAATACACCAAACATAAAAGCTCCTAGGAACAAGATAAGAGGCCATGAGAAGGTGGTGCCTGACATTGGGCCACAGGAGAAGAAGGGGAGGAAAAAAAACTGAACCAAACTAACCTGCTTTGATACTTCCAATTTTTTTCGAAATTCACCAAAATCTCCTTCTTGGAATGCCCTCAAGCAGCTAAATACTCCAACAGGAGAGAGTGAACAAGAAAAAAAAGTTCATCGTCCAACGCAAAGAAATGCAGAAGCTTATCCCTTATGAAAACATGAAGAACATACTATGCAAAATACATTTCGGATCTTGTTTCACAATTTGTTCAAGCAGGCAGTACCTAACTAAATTTGATAGATTAACGAGTAAACATATTTCATTCACAACTTATTTAAGCATGCACACCCCATTGGTGGGGGGGTGGGGGGCATGAATACAAATATCAAACTGCATGCCAAAGAGTAATAATTGCCTCTAATTAACTCTCTCACTAATGGGACTTAAATTACTCTTGTTTTGACAAGACTAAAACATGAACCACATGCAATATTTTTCCTAGTTAACCAATCTTCATCAAGCTGGCTTAAAACACATAAGGGTAGGCAAATCATTCTTTAGTATACTTTACAAGAAGTACATTTACTGCTGATCAGAGTTGGAATAACTGAAATAGTTAACAAGGAAGCAACTCAAAACAGTTACAAGCAGTGTTGAATAGCATGATAATAGCAAAAATATTAAGAAAATGTACCTGTGCAAATTTTGATGGAAGTTATCATTTTTGACAAGCTGATAAGAAGCTGAATTTGGTGCAAGCGACAGGAAAGAGAAGTCCCAATTTCCAGCCCTCCAAGCAGCTTCATACTTTGGACAAATAAACATAACACAGCCAAGTTCAGAAGAGCAGAGTTGACTGAATACTCTAACGATGTGCATCAAATAAATTTCAACCTGCAATTCAGTGAATTCCAAATCATGCTGCAGCTGGTCCTTTCGAGAAGTCAAACCCTGGCAGTAAATGTCTAAGACATGTGTACAGCCCATTTGCTGCAGTGATCTAATCAACCCTTTATAAGGCTTCCTCTGGCTCATCTCATCATGAGTTGCAGGAAGTGCAGAATGGCAGGCCGATTGGGTATTCTTCATCAAGGCTATACTGGAACTTACATCTGCTTGAAGAATGGCATTCGAACGCACTTGCAGGTCATAATATTCAAGGGCCTTGCTCCAGTTCCCCTCATGCTCAAAGGTAACAACTTGAGAGGCCAACTACCATATCAAGGCCATAACAACAAAGAATGATACAGTGAGATGTCAAGTTGAAAAACTTCCTAGAACAACTCTCAGAAACTGAAACATCATACAAGCTTGAAAGCAGTTAGCTCCAGGTCTCTGGCTACCAAATTTACTAAATCCATCGAGCATTCTACTTTAAAGCAAACCTATTAACAAAAATGTGAAAACTGGAACCAGCAATTGTTGCATGCTATTTCCATTACTATGGCTGCAGCCCAAGAACTTCCAATTTTTTTTTACCAACTTCTCCTTTTCAGTAGTAGCAATTAACTTGGTTACATCGCATGACAGATTATCAGGCATTCATAGGTACATAGATCGGTGGAACGGCAGAAGGCATGGACTTTCAACCATATTATGTATCTCCTTGGTCTGCTTCCACAATCTTTCCAGTCCGGCTTCATTTTTGTGGAGGCAGCATTCAAACATTAGAACATATATATGAAATTTGTAATTGCCAGCTGCAGTGTGTTTTATTTAATTTATATTTATATGAACCTTGAACTGCAATCTAAATACACAATGTGGCTAAAAATTTCCACCTACAAGATCAACATAAGGTATGGTAATCCTGAATAGTTCCTCAAACCAGCAACTGCGAAAACAAAGACAATATACCTTGTGGGACTGAATGGTTCCGTAGAGACTGTCTGGTTCATTTATTTGAGTGAGAGCTGATATAAGTACTTCGATGTGATCTGACAACTGCTAGGACAAACAAAGAGAGCAGTCAAAATAATCATTTCTTCTAAATGCCACCAAAGACACACAGGATACTGAAGCATAAATGAGGACAAAAATTACAGCTTGAATATCACCTAAAATAAACCAACAATGCAAGAAAGTTTTAGTCTAAATTCAGACCCATGATTATCCTATAAATTCGCTACATAGAAAATAATAATACTATTAGAAAACAGTAACACTACTAATAAACTGCAGATGCCTATTCAAAATATATCGCCACGCATGCAGTCAAGGGTATAGTCAGCTTCAACATATTGAAAAATGATATGATAAATAAAGATCTTCAAAGCTACTGATCTCCCTATATTCAAGGGGGGAAAATAGACCGTGTTCACGACTTACCACCTCAACATGAGAAAAATCTGCAGCTCCTAAGGTAAGGCCTCCATAATGCTCTTTACACCAATGTTCAACATACATTATCGAAGTGAAATACGAGCCAGAAAGCTTCAAACGAGACAAGATAAAGTGACACTTCTTCAGTATTTGCACAACGCATATAAAAAGAATGAGGAAGAAGGTAAAGAACAAAAGAAAGAATTAATGTATTATATAAGACTCACCACTGCTGCCTTTGCAACAAGAAGATAATCAACGCTCAACCAGTAAACCTGCAAAAAGTATAATAAAAAACACACAGTGAATCGAACTGACAAATGGTTAACCTGGAATACTACATCATAAAGTTTTCAACTCCATTCTTCTGAACTCCGAGTTGTGTATGCTCGCCAACCATTTCATGTCCATCGTCTGATTTAAATCTTTCGGATTCTCCAGTGCATGAGTTGTACTTGTTCTTAAATGATTTTTTTCCTTTTTTGCACATATCTTGGATATATTCAATTTCAACCATTAATAAAATAGAAACTAAATACGTGGAACGAAAACAGGTACTAACTCATGAGACAAGTAATGATACGGATGAGCAAGACAAATAGGCAATAGCTTAGGCAGCTTAGAGGAACTCCTCAGGTCAAGCAAATTTAAGCCTAAATCATGTATTGGTAGCCTATTATCTTATTAGATGACAAGAAACCGTGCTCAATACGGATGCCCAGTTCGAACAGACCTGTCCACCTAACCTGTCTTGATCTTTTTGGGGGCGGGACGGGACATGGGTACTCCTGGCACCCTGGTCGCGCTGTTATCCACCAGCTCTGTCTAATTTCTATATATTGATTCCAAATTACTCTTATTTTAACATCTGTTAAATCATACTTTAGTCTAGTGTAGATAGTATTAAGCAAGAGTCTCCATTAATCACGTCATGGTCTCAATTTTTATCTAGAAACTGTTGCTTCAGGTTTTCTTATGAAAAAACTGATGTGTTTGATCTTTTAAGACGCATACACAAATGGCAAGACCTGTCTTGACCAGTGCCCCGAGCTTAACTAACTGACCTAGCCAGCATCTAACATGGGCGGTAATCTATGGGCCTTGAGGCACCTGCCTCGTCCTGGACCCATTGTCATTCCTAGCGCTCAAGCACTTCCAACACAGATTCTGTATGACAGCAAGCCAGCAGAAGTTTCTGACAGTTTGAGAACATAACGGAAAAGGAAGATGTCCGCATTTCAAATTGCAGTCCATGCATTCGTCAGGGTTGTAACAGAATTGAACGAGAGAAGCCAAAAATAAAAAGAATGTGAATCCACATACCTTATCCCATAGAAATGTTGATGTTGTGGGTACACTTGAACTACCAAGGAATTCCCTAGTCTTTCCAGATGCAGAACGTGATTTGGAACCATGACTAGAAGGCCTAGAATACTGAAAAACACAGGAAAAGGTAAACAGAGGATGCATGTTAATACAAGGCCAAAATAGATCGAACACATGAAATTCATTAGATAATTCAAGTATATTCTGCTCTTATTCTTTTCCTAATATTCTAATAAAATCATTCCAGATGCAAGTCTATTCATGTACTTGCCTTGGAAGCTTCTCGTTTTGATTGTTCGAGTGAAGACCTTTCCAGTACATGACACAAGCGAAGTTCATTAAGGGCATTCAAGAAGACTTGGATTGATTTTACCAGCATATTTGATTCTGTAAATATATGCCGTTGGACCTGCAAGTTAACCCAACAGTGACTAAATACTTCAGCAAGATCATGCAGACGGCTATGTAGAGTGAGAAGCAGCAGCATTAACAAAAACAGCCATGATATTCAAGGCTCGAGAGAAATAACCAAAGCACTGAGCTCATAATAACTGCTACATATCCCAGAAGCACAGTTTATAGTATTAACTAGAACCAAACGAGACAACAAAAGGAAGGAAAACAGAAGATATAAACCATGCCAGCATATTACGCAGTTACACACATTTTTGCATGCAATGTGCAGAGCTAAAGCTTCCCAAAGAATTTACCTGCTGAGTTATCAACTTCTGAAGATCAACATCTAGATCTTTTCTTCCAGCTATATCTACAATCGCAATTGGAAACAGGAGCTCAGCAACCTCGGCTTTGTGCAAGACAATTCCCTGGCATAATCTGAACAACGCAACGTACAAGAAGGTCAGTCAGCAAATAAACATACTGGCAGAAAAAAGGTTCCAGAAACAAACAAATGTATCTTGGAAGTGCTTAATTGAGTCATCAGAACCATAGTGAAATATTGTACACGTAAATTAAGGGAAATAAGAACATGACAAAATAAAACAGAGTATTTAATAATGTTTTGGAAATAGGAGCTTATATGGTTAAAAAATGTCTGTAAGTATCAAACATAGTATATGTGTCAGGGAAGTGTTTGCTAACAATGATATGAACATTCAAACAAAACCTTAAGATGGTGTCATTGCAGAACCCAAGCATTGAGTACACCACTGGGCAAATCCATGCCTCAAAGGTTTTACGGCTTGTGTTCCATAAAGTAGAATCCTGGAGTGGAACTGCTTCAACTGAGATTGAAGAGAACTACAGTGAGAACTTAATTAATCCTAATAAGATCTGATATCCACGTCAGGAACTTGATAGAAGTTTACCTTTAAATTTTTTATCCAAATCCGTCAAGAATTTCTCCACCACTTTGGTGTCTACACCATTAGAGTGGATCTACAAGAAAAAATTTGATATGTTAACGTATATGATGTTCAATGTACGCATACACAGAACATAAGAAGAAATAGTACAGTCGGACACAGACTCGCGCAAGGCTCAAAAGTGGAGTGCTAACTTATATTGCTAGAGAGTCCTCAGACTCGTGAGGAATTTAGCTGTCATCATTTTATCGTTAACTGAGCACAGTCCTGTTTCCTGCTTATACATGACACTTAAATGTCGGCTGATAACTGATCCCTACAGTCTTCCAGATTCTCTAACCTAAGAGTAGTTCCTAACATCAAAAGTCTCCACCCAGTAGCATAATATCGACAAACATGGTCAATAAAATGAAAAGACAACCTACCAACCTAGGTTTTCAATCTCCAATGCTAAAAAGGAAATTCCCCATAAGACACAATTACCACCTGCCACCAGAAAAGGAAAGACTGTTTATAGGGAAGGAAGAGGTATACCTCAATGAGAGACCTCTCATAAGAATCAAATGAATGTACAGCTCTGTGACCCTTTTCAGTAGAAAGAATTCCCTGTTTTGAGAGGGGGATACATGAGCCACTTGAAATATTGTATACATTTCATTCACATGAGAGCAGCCATAAACCACCTCAAAAACATATTCAGCTCATTACTAAATCAGAAAGAGCGCTCACTGAGAGCATTACACAGTCAATTCAGCAGGCATATCATAATGCAGACATGTACCAAGAAATATACAAGTCAACCTGCTACTTTATACCATCGTTGACATATTCCATACCAAATTTTGTGGGGTACATAGTTTGACCAAGAATCATTTTTATAGCTAATCCAAGGCATTCAGTCAAAACATACCATCCAAGCATAAACATTTTTAGTCAACTAGCATCAGCTTCAAAAGAAAATACATTCCCCTGCAAGCTTTTCTGAGAGGTCTGTGTGCCACACATGAAAGCAAACATGCAGGCAAAGAAGCAACACACTTAGGTGGAAATCTCAACTAGAGGTGAATTAATTCTATCTTACCTGAATAGCTTGTGATGCCATATCAACTATTCGGACAGAATCATCCATCAGATACTTCTTCAAGAGCCTAAGAAGTTCTACCAGAAGGTCTTCGGATATTCCAAAACTGATTTCAGTACCAGTGTCTGAAGTGCTTTGCTGCACTCTCCTATGATTGAACTCTCTAGCAGGACGGAAAACAACATTGTGTGGCTCCCCAACACCAAGCTATAGTCACAATTCAGTGCATCATTGTTATTTCAGGTGGACTACACTTGGAGAAGGAAAAAACAAAAGAAAGGTGAATAAATACACCAGTAATTATACCCGAGACACAAAGTCAGAGACCAAAGGTCTGATGCTGCCGGCATCATCCAAACCACATATACGAACTAGGGTCCAGATTGCACAACGGATTTCTGGATCATGATTCCAATGTGCATCCTCTATCACATCTTTGTCACTTCCTTTCACCTGATAATTTTCCCCGAGGAGTACTTTCTTGTGCAGTGCTTGGACACTAGAACATAAATTGAAACATGGATTAACATCTAGAGGCATCATATATGTTCACAATTTTGGAAGACTGTCCACTATAGTTTCTTAAAGACGGCATATAAATTAACAGTTTGACTGATTCTTCAGTAGAAAGCGGCTTCATCCTCTAAAAATGCAAGCATACTTGTGCCAAGTAACACAGGTGAACATCAACAATTAGAACTAAACTAGCAAAGAAAATGTTTGATCTTTTAGGGAAGTACCTTGACAATAGTAATCTCGGAGGCAAGTAACAATATCGGCTAGCAAACTGAAAATACAAATACTACAGGAATTAGGTGACAAACGAGTGAGACAGACCAAATACCGATTATCTACTCTGTACAACACATTTTTCATGTCATATTTTAGAAGTGCATTTGCAACACCATATGGACATACTAACAACACAGGCATGGATAAGAGACCGAAGTAAATACTTTGATATACCATACTTTCAATAGGTGATCTCTGGGAGAGTATGTCTGGCATAACACTTTATGGAACCCTCGCATCTCATTGAAGAAATCCATCTCAGGGAATGGCTCCAACTCCTACAATAGACTAACAGAATAACTAAGCACAAAGTAAAAAGTAGAAAAGCCTTTTTTACCATAAAAGAAAGCTCAGAAGTAAATACTAAGCACCAATTTGGTGTTCAGCTTCTACTGTAGAAATCAAAGGGATACATACCCTAATATAATCATGAAGAGACAGGTCAGAGCTGACAACCAGTTGACGGAGCAAAGGAAGAACGGGAGATAATGTGGTGCCAGAAGGACCTTCAACTGTGACAGAATGCCTGCAGCATTCCACCAATTTTGATACCAAAAACTACAATGAAAACAACACAAATATTAGAAGACAATAGTCTAGCAATCTAAACATGAGATGCCCTGTCAAAGAGCATCACCTGAAGTTGATCGCCTAGAGCATTAAAAACGTCTTTAGACGGGTTTTCATCAAAAGTCTTCAGTACAGAAGTCATTATACGGCAACTTTGATTTTCTAGAGCTTTGAGACCAATAATCTGTCCAGTCAAATTGAGAATGTAGCTGCGAATTCGAAATAGAAAGTAAGAGACCATGTATTGGCAACCTGATACTGAAAAGAGATACTACTAAAACCAGGCAACCAGCTAGTTAGATGATCAAGAAAGTAGCAACCAAAATAGAAAAGAACACAAAGAATTTGTCTTCTCTGCGAATGTACACAGGTTCCAAACAATAGAGATGGAGGAAAAAGTATAGTGAGACAACACAGGCAGTGCTACTGCATGAAATGCTTAAAGCGTCAGGAAACTAACAAATAAATACCATAAAGAATATAATATGCAATCAGTTCAGTATGATTCACAAGTCCAGGCACCAAATAAAGCAGACTTACTTGGCTGTGCCTGAGATAGCAACTCGATGACCAAGAACATCAATGAGCACTTCAAGTCCAGCCAACCTGTGACACCTATGCCTCGGATGGACAGCTGCTTCTAATTTGTAATGTATTTCCAATATGAACTGCCAAAACATAACAGCAAGATGTCAGATGGAAAAAAAATGTTCTGGGGTAACTTGAGAAGAAAATTAATCTTTCCAAAATGCCAGTCACCATGAAAACTCTATCAGGACGAAAAATGTTGATCTTATCAAGAACAGCACCACTAGCAGACTGATCATCACTGCATCAGGCAAGACGTACACATCCGTTAAGGAGATTCAAAGACGAACATGGATAAAAATATGACTCAAATGAAGAATGTACATTTCCAGAAAACCATCCACTACAGTCCGAATTGCCTGTGCTATTGTCTCTTTGGAAAAGAAAGGAACTGCAGGCTCTGATGCACAAGAAACAAGGGACAACATATGGCCAACAATAGATACCTAGAAAGCAAGTAACAAAGACACAAATTAGAGAGAGAACAATGGAGCCAGTTCATCAATACACAAAACTAGAAAAAGTAAGCATCCATTATTCCATTTTAAGTACTAGCATTGAACCCGGCCGTTGGCCGATTGACTATCATTTAATTATTTTTTATAATGAAAGAATTGTTATTTTGTGGCCAAAACCAGCCAAAAAAATATCTCTCTCCAATGGAATACATGACATTTATACTAATTAATATATTATTATATTTAAACTATTTTTTATACATTTTTAAAAAGATACTTATGATATTTCATGTGTCACCCAAGTATAAGTTTATGACATAAACAATTTTAGGTTTATGTGAGATTAACTTGTATGCATTAGGTAATTTCTCAGTTAAAACCTTAATTTCCATAATGTTTGATGTTTGAGCTCAGGTTCAAGTAAGAAATTTTAATGTTTAAACTAACAGTCAATTACAATACTTCAATTATTTATATAATGCATTATACACTATGAATATCAGGTGCATATGAAATGTTAACTTTGGCCAAATTAATTCTTCAAGTAAAATTTAATATTCTAATATCATCATGACCGTTGATATACAATTGATATAATTTTTATTTTTTAGATCTTAACAAAAATAGTACTAAGTGTATTTTAACCGGCCAAACAAAATATAATTTTGAAAACGACAATATTTGTAAACCATATCGTACTGGTGGTTCGACTGGAAAAGCCTCCTACCGAAGGCTAAATCAATATGCAAATTTTAGTTGTACAAAACGGTTGAACCGCCGATAAATCACTACTTAACTTCTAAGCATAAAATATCCTATCACTAATTTTTGTATATACAACCTCCAATATGATTTTATAATACTTATTTTTAGCTAATTAATCCTTCATTTCTAGGAGGGACAGTTGGACAAACGTATTTACACAAATGCATGGAAAAAAGTAGGCAGTTGCAAGCGGGACAAAAAAATAACAGGTAAAGGCCTAAAGGGAAAGAAAAGGATTTTTCATTTTTCTATTGAGAAATGCGTAAAGAAAAAAAGAAGAAGGAAGAACCGAGAAATGCGGAGAGGGCTGGGAATTTCAAACTGAAGAGGTGGTTTTGGGAAAACGCTTATAGTTTTCTTTAGATATGCATTTCCCAGAAGAAGTCATATCAAGTACAAGTTTCGATGATCAGCAATATTTCCTGGATTCACCTCATGACTCTGGTATATCTTGAAAAATTAACCATAGGACAGACAGATTCAATTTTGAACGCACATCAAAACATGCTGATAGACATATTCTTATATCTCCCGACAGTTTAATCAATTGCTAAAACACAAAATGCAGCTAATACTTTCCAAAAAGAACTTCACAATGATGGTTCAGTTTATGATGACCAGAGGACATATAAATATCTATCATTACATTTGGCTCTGCTGGATATACTTCGCATCAGAGAAATTCAACATAGACCATGAATTCCTATCCGTAAGCAAGCTTACAATAAGACAGTCTGATCAGTGAAAGCTTCTGCTATTAAGCAACAAGTTTATTGTAAAAATAAATAAAACATAATAAGAGAAGAATCAAAAGGTAGCTAAAGCAAAATAAGAGCAGAATGAAGAAAAAAAACATCTAAGCCACTAGTTATGACTCTAATCTGTCAGAAATCATATCTTAAACACAGGAGTGTAATAAACAAGCCAAGGAGCAGACAAGGACCTAAAAAAGCCAAACACTAACATCATGCATCAATGATGCTCAGTACATAGACATGAATCATTATGAAAGTAGTTTGAAATGAACACCTGATCGCACCATTGTGTAACTCTAATCTGTCAGAAATCATATCTTAAACACAGGAGTGAAATAAACAAGCCAAGGAGTAGACAAGGACCTAAAAAAGCCAAATACTAACATCAAGCATCAATGATGCTCAGTACATAGACATGAATCATTATGAAAGTAGTTTAAAATGAACACCTGATCGCACCATTGTGTAACGCAATAGCACAAAAGAAACATATAAGCCACTAGTTATGACTCTAATCTGTCAGAAATCATATCTTAAACACAGGAGTGAGATAAACAAGCCAAGGAGCAGACAAGGACCTAAAACAGCCGCACACTAACATCAAGCATTAATGATGCTCAGTACATAGATATGAATCATTATGAAAGTAGTTTGAAATGAACACCTGATCGCACCATTGTGTAACACAATAGCACACAAGAACTCATAGGATAAATTTTTCCCAGAAACTTTAGGTAGACAGTCCATACCATGTGTTTCTTTATGAGCTTGTCTCGTTCATTCTCAGATAACTCAGCAAGTTGCAAAATAGACTTCTCAAGCACAAAAGTTCCCCTTTCCCATCCAGGCATCTTACTGCAATGCAATGCCATACTAACTGAAAATATTGGCACAAAGTGACTCTTAACTAGAGCTGCCAATGGTTGACCTGAGACCTGCAATCAGGAACACGCATGCCTTCAACAAAACCGACAATTAGAACAGATAACAAAATAAAATATCAAATACAAGGCTCATACTTTAGCTAGCCAGTTAAGATTGGTCATGTCCTTCTCCAATAGTAAAGCTGGAAGCAGCCAATTGCAAGAGTATTGTATAAAATAACTAGGCTCCACATCTGATACAAAAAGTTGCCTTATCTGCAAAAATAATAGTATCACCATCATAGAATCAGATAATAGAAAGCTCGAATATGAGTCTAGCAAGAACAACCCAAGTTTAACCGAACATGTCCCTGGCAGTCATACAAACGAAGTAGAAGTTCAACAAACGTAAAAATCTCTGTAAAACAATAGTCCGGCAAACAGGACTTATCAACCAGATCATGCAGTGACGAGAAACAATTGAAATATGAAAGATCGCAAATAACCGTCATGATACCTCAAGGAGTGAAACTAAATTAACATCACAAGCAACCCAGCTGAAGAGAATTGCACCCATCAGTTCCTCCAAATACTGCAAAAGGGGATGGTGAGGAGTGGAGAAATGATGATCATAGAACAAAGGATCAACATCCATTAACTGTTGAAACATAACCAGCACTCTGAAGATCCAGGAAATACGACAGATCTTTATACTCGTTCGCAAACTACTAATTATGCTGACAAGGAAACAAATGAAATAGGGACATAATGTGAACCTTGAATCTAGTTGTATACTGTAGATGCTTTGACAGGTTATTGAGCACCTCAATGACCAACTCCCTGAAGTAAAATATGTATTGGTCACAACACACAGTGCTTACATATAACCAAGTACAACACAAAAGGAATCATGTTACCTGTGACAAGGCTCGAAGGCAGAAATAGCACATAACATGAAAACTGCCTGCATGCCATATTAAAGAAAACGATAAAAGAACAAAATTGTTATGTTTATTCCCCAGCAGCTTAAGTTCAAAATATAAAACAGAACTCTATATAGATAACAGAACCAAATTAGTAGGTACAGTTACCTTTGACTCTACTTTCTCGCTATGTAAAGCAAGATGCATAAGAGTAATAATGACAGTTTCCAGAGCTGGGAGAGACTGTGGACCAGTAGACATGACCTGCTTTGCTTTGACGAGTTTTCCTTTCAACGGGAGCACTATAACAACACCGAAGTTTGAACTATAAAACCATCATGGAGTTAATTGTTAGTTTTCCAAAAATATGTCAACTGATTCCGTCACTGAGATTGAGATGAATCTGGCAAACAAAGCTAAATACAACAAATTACCAACATGTTAGACATTGCTGGCAGTTTCTAGCATTTAGTTTTGTGGGGAATCTACTCTTTCAGTGAAACACTCAAGCTAACAGCATATTAAGATTTGTTGACCAACCTGAGACAAAGTAGAAGATATCAATTTTATCCTTCCATTTCTTTCTAAAAGTAATAAATTTATTCTTCTAATTATGACAAATAACCATTAAAATTCCAAAGCTCGGAGGTTGCAGGAACATTTTTGTAGCAAGGGGAAAAAGGCAAGAACAAAATTTGTACAGTAAGAAACTGGTTAACCAGGCTAAGAAGCTGGTGAACTATTAGAAACCTACCAGATGTCCTCAAAAAGTTCTTCATGACCATCCCATGTTTGGAATAGAACGCCAACCCTTTGGCCCAAAGAATACCGGACTCTGTAATCAGGATCTCGGACCAACAACAACAACCTCTCAATCATTGTCTGCAACATCATGAAGGGAAAAGTCATAAAGAAGGCCAAAGAAAAAGCAAGACACATGACATTTTATACGTTACTTAAGATCCCCAGGGGAACACCGGAACAGTACTTACCTGACCAATTAGAGGGTCCAACAACACAAAATCACAAATGCAATCAACTAGCTTTGCACGCCCCACCCAATCAATGACACCGAATTCTGCAACTTTGTTCACCAGATCTCCCAAATGCACCAAACTCTACATATTAACAACCAATTAATATTAAGCCATAAAAGAGGCTTGACTAAAAGTATACAATAATACAACATCGTGATCAAGATAATATGCCAGTTCAAAATCCATTCAACAGCTAATCAAACAAGAAAGCTATTTTGATGCTATTTGCTTCCAGAAAAGAATGAAAGAAAAAAGCATCACAAACAGTACAAGGGAGAACTAAGGGTTAGTTTGAGTTCTAGAATTGTTTTAGTGAGCTTGTTACAATGCTTGCATTCTTTAGAATACATAATTTTTATGCACACGCAATACATGTATTGTTTGCTTGATGTGACGAAACAATCATTCAAAATGAATAATTTTACAATCTCAACTTTTAACTGAGATTATTGGGATTGTTCAATTGAGATTGTTGTCTCTCTTTTGTTCAACTTTAACCTTTAAAAGAACCTTTGCATTGAAAAGAAGGGTACAAGTGACATTTCAGTTAAGGTGACTTTCATTTTTAAATATTGAAAACACACTCAAAAATACTAAACATGGTAATCTACAATGCAGCAAATTCATCAGTATATGTATAATATAATACATCTATTGATCACAATACATCAATTTAGAAATGGAGACCCCTAAGAGACCAAAAACAAACTATGAGGTCCAAACAGAGTACATGAGCATAACAATATTCTTCTAGAATGGTAATGCACGGCATGCCAATACATGTCAGCCTGAAGTATATTTAAAGAAACTAAATCACAATGGGAAATTAGATTCGCATGCAAAGCAAGATGACGCAAAGGAAAAAAACTTTGGCAAAAATAAATAGTCATGGTTTCAGTTGATGGAACAATAAGGGGGGAAAAGATCAGATAGCAGAACCCAGAGATCAATCATGCGTCAGAAAAAATTTCAGCAAGAGAGATGAGAGACGCCAAAAATATATGTGGCCATTGATCATTCAAAATGATGAACCATTGCTGTTTATGATTTGGTGTGCAGATGTATAAATTGAGAATAGAACCTTATAGATATATAAAAAGCAGACTATTAAATATCCATCACCAAAATAAAAACTAGTGCATAAATGGAGGTTACCGATTCGGATTCTCTTATCAGAGTTGGATCATCATTTTGACCAGCATCTGACGAAGATATCTTACTTAACAATTGATGAGCAGCAACCAATATAAACTTGCAATCAAGCCTGAGATTCACCCGTTTGTCAAGCAAGTCATTCATTATTTTGACCTGCATATACAAGTGGAAAGTAAAAGAAAACATATAGAAATGTTAGCTGACACAATATTTACAACTGACATAAAAAAAAAACAAAAACAAAAACCTTTTACAGCTCAAACTATTCACAAGTTAAATCCAAAGATTACCAAGCCTGTAATTTTTGCAGGAGAAGACCAATCTGGGTTCTGACAAAGATGGTAAAGGATCTTCTCACCCACCTGAACAAAGCATGCAGGAAACGAAATCAGGGTTATTAGGAGAAGAAGAACAAGAAGACCAATCAAGCAAGTGTCAAAGAAAACAACTTATTTAACTTTACCTTTGGATCAGATTCTCTTGCCAAAATTTCAAACAATATATCCCATGTCAAATCTTGCAAAACCGGGGAAAAATTCGCCATAAGAGATATCATGCTCGACTTCCAGTTGACAATAGAAAAGGATGGTGTAGAACCAACTGTCCCACTTACTGTTGACATATCCACATCTTTCATATCCCCGCTGACATCTAACTCCATGTCCATAATCCTACTTTTATCACCATTGAGTGATTTAGGCATTTGTAAGTCATTGTCAGATACACAAATATCAGGTGGTATCAACTGACCACCAAGACTTGTGCCACAATCAGAGTATCGCTCATACAATTTAGCCAGGCTGCGTAGGACTTTCTCCACTGACTGAACTATCATATTATAGACCGTAGAATCTAGACAACCACCACGTCCTTTGGCAAAGATGGGACAGCAAACAAAGCTTGTAAGTGAATCGAGAAGAGTGCTCTTTGCAACCTTCTCCGCACCAAAGTCAAAGCATCCAAGAGACTGAAAGTCAGCACAATCTTCAATTGCACTAGCGCCATGATTCAGCAATTCTGCCACAAAATGTCCTGATTCAGAAATGAAAGAGGAGACTTCTCCCCTGAAAAAAAAAACAAGATGAACAAGGTAGATTCGACATAAGATTTCCACACAAGCTTGAAAGAATTCAAATATGGTGGAATGATGGAGAACATGAGAAACCATGATACACAAACTACAATCTTATTAGCGGTTGAAATAAGCGCGCTGACGACTTCCGGTGGACCAGATCATGTAATTAGATCAATAATGAGCCACAGAAAATGTGATGAAAGCACATGTTCGATTGAAGTGATAGGAAGGTACCTAGCTACTAATGATCCATGTACCAAATTGCATACTACAGCACATATGAAGAACACATCAGTAAGAGGCATCCTTTTAGCCTCCTTATCTGTCATAGCCCTAAGAATATGTGCTTCCGTCTCGTCCAATAGTGAATCCCTCAATTTGTAGGGAAGACGCACACCATGGTGCAGCTCCGGCAAGGAAACCTGGAGGGCAAACCAGTTGAATCAATTTGTCAAATTTTCATGCTCTGAGCCAAATATAGTAGTCACAGAAGCAAAGTGTAAATGACCTTGGTTTTGGAATCATAAATTTCGGAAAGAACTTCAACAAAGCATTCAAAGAACTCACGCGGTCTTCTAAATTCTTGCCCATCTAGCTGTAAGGATGATTAGGCAGCAATTAAGAATGAATTCAACAAAACTAACCTCGTAAATTTTTAGTATCAGCACATACCTTAGCCCAACCATCTGATACCTCTGAATCCTTCATAGAAGAATTTAATGGGAAAAGCGCCCGGTAATAGGGCATGAAAGTTGCATAGCCAGCACAAAGAGCATAAGCAGCTGACGGTATTAAGAGGACTGTGTGCTCATTCAGAGTAGAAGATTCCTATACACAAACACAATTCTCTAATAATAAGGAAGAATCATGTTTTCCTTAAAGCAGAGATAAAGCAAATATAGATAATAATAAAAAAAGGTATTACGAATTTCCAAGTCATGAATCAAGAGGCACGACTATACAGTACTTCTAGAGCATATTACACAAGCCGCCGTCCTAAAATCCTAACTATTAAAAAGCAATAATTAAAGAGTACAAAGCTCAGAAAACAACTAGAGCCTTTTAGGCAAACAGAAGCCTCCTTCTGCCAGGGAAAAGTAATAGAACCCTATTTACAGGAGACATGTTTTTCTGAATCCAAAAACAGCCATTATACATGTTAGACGTGGAAGAAAAGAAAAGCGCAAAAAGTGGGAACTTGCAGTACAACATCAAAGAGCTCCCAGAAGTTCAAGCAAGTTTCTTCCATGCTGCATGTAGGCTGTGCTGCAGCAGGAAACTAAGAATCAAATGATCTAGGAACACCCAGGTATCAATGTGTTCTGGAATAGGAAAATAGCTATTGTGGACAGGAAAACAAGCATTCTGGACCACTAAAAGCGGCATCCCTGAGAACCTTAACCAGGATGTTATAGACAATCTAATTTAAGATTCTTAGAAGCATCTTGCATGTCCTTGCTCGTCAGTGCTCAAACGATATAGCACAAGTATTATATTCTTAATCGAAAGAGGAAAACAGAGACGAACACACAGGAATGAATAACAATAATACGAGATAAGAATCGAAACCATTGGAGTCAATAAGACCTTAAACTTCAGATTGCCGAGAACAGCTCTTAAGAGATTCCTCCTCAGATGTATGGTATCCATTAGGTTCCCCTGAACAAAAACATAATCAGATGATAGGTAACTTTAAAAATTCATCTGCAGAGAAAATATCAGGAAGGACTACTTACCTGCCAACCTTTGTGTGAAAAATAGCAAGCAGCAAAATACAAAAAGGCCCTGGATGAAGATAGGAAATAAACATCTAGGATGAGAGGAGTCCATATAACATGTTCACAAATACTCAGAAAAATAGAACTTTCTCAAGAACATAGCTAAGCTCTTGCAATCCTCAATAGAAAAGGGGGGGGGGGGGGGGGGGGGGGGGGGGGGGGGGGAGAGAAAGGAAACTACGACAAAAATCAAACAAAGAATACTACGGGATGAACATTTGATAACCAAGAATTATAGAACAAATACAAGGTTTGTAGAGAGTAGAATGTAAGCTAAAGCTACCACAAAGAATCAGAAACACCAAGCCTGTCTCTACTGCCGACAACTCCAAACAGGAACTGGTTCCAGCTAACAGCACCCTGAAGTCTGACCAATTTACCTTCAAAGATTCCCAAACTTGGGAGCAACATGACTCCCAAGTAATATCCAACAGGATGATATAAACACAAACGCCATAGCGAACAACTTAAAAACATGTTCAACATACTTCTACAGGGGAAAGGGAAAGAAACCCCTCAACAGGAAATCACGTGCCGCAGACAGGAGAAACGAAATCCAAAATGGTTCTGAAACATTATAGCCACAACCTAACTTCAAAAACACGAACAAATTCTCTCCTAATTGCATAAACCAACATGAAGCTGTAATGGAACAGATCGAACCTATTTTCTCAAGTTCCCTCGTAATGTGATTCCTATCACGGAAAACCTAGTCCACCAACTATCAAACACTAATGTGAGGATATACTTACATGGATGGTGTCCGCTTAAACAACTTCAGTTCCCATACATCTTGATGTACGAGACACATGCTTGTAATTTCCTAGATAACAAAACAGACAAAAGGTTCCAAGTTTACAACCATTTAGAAGGCGTCAACAGTCTATAAACCCAACGAGTCTTACAGTGCAGATTCCACCACTCACCCTTGATATGATGTTTCCCAGTAGAATTAAAGCAGCATCAACCTGAAGGAGAGTAAAAAGGAAATAAACATGCAATTCATCGACATGGTAGTCCAAATCTCGAGACCACCCATAACATCTTAACATTTTCTGGTTTGCTCTCCAACGTATAATTTAATTCGATACAAAGTCAAAGATATAGAGCATTGATAAATGCTTATTTCAGGACATAATTTGCTTATATTTCACAACATTTATAGGTAGCTGTCGAAAGAGTATCACTCTTTACTTGATTCAGCTAGTATGACTACCTTGGTCACTGGAAGTACTACTTTAAAGACAAAACAAACATTACACCATAAACATCTGCTTACTAGAAGCACAAAGCTGATGCTCTGTACCAGGTAAATGTACACAGCTGTAACGGATTAAAGAAACTGTTCATCTAATGGAGCACGATGATGTAACATATAATTCGCACTATATATGTGATAGCTGTCACTTAGGCAACCATTCCAAACAAAGTAATATACAACTCCAGTCAAGTTAACATTAATAAATGATTCGATCTAACCTAAATGTTGTAATCCACAGTTCGACAAATTCACAAAACCAAATTACTGCGGCAGTTATATGATACAATAAAAAAATGCACCTTTGTGAGGATAAGTAATTCGGACACCTATGAACAATCATTTCTTGTTAATCGACTATGACCAAAAACAAAAAGTCATTTATCATAGCCAGCAAAATCCTACATCAACACTAAAGCAAGCAAATGAGAATATGGTACGAAATAGACACTGTATTGCACTTACAACAGAAGTTTGAGTACTGAATACTGGCAACCCCTGCATCACGAGGTTCCATATTATTTGCCAACCATTGTCCACCTAAAGAATTGGCACCCAGTAAGTGATTGCAAGATGGCTCCAAACATCAACTTGTGAGGAGATAACTACTTAATTGCTCATTTCAACCAAGATTTACAAAAGTAAGGATAAGCAAATGGAACGAAACATAATACTGTGTTTGTACATTTCAAGAATTGTGCTTTTGAGAATCAACAGAAAAAGAAAAGGCATCTTACCATTTTGTCGCCTATGAACATGCTTACAGCTTATATCTAGTAATGGGTGTGTCAAGTAACCAAATCTAAAGATACATCCTAACCTATATGCTAGAAATGTCGCACATCAGACTAGGGGTGGCTATACGGTCCGGACCGGTTAAATTGGCCCAATTTTATCCGGTCCAGTCCGGTCTTTTCGAAAATATAAGGACCAAAGATTGGATTGAATACAGTCCGGTTTTGATCCGGTCCGGTCTTGACCCGGTCCAGATCCAATTCGGTCTTGATTTTATATTGAGTTTGTGGGGATTTGAGTGGCCTAAGGCTGAAAGGTGAGGAGTTGGTTAAGTTTTGTACTAAGTGCAAAGGTTTGTGACCATTTATGCTAATTACCCTTAAGTTTTGGGTGTTGAGCTTTCTTATCCGGTCTTTATCCAGTTTTTTATCCGGTCTCGAACGGTTTTTTACTTCAAATCTAAGCCCAAAGTTGGATTGGATTGTTTACTATCCGGTCCCGGTCCCGTCTCGGTCCGGGTTATACGGTCCGGTTTCGGGTAAAACCAAAAAAAACCCGGACCAAATAGCCAGCCCTACATCAGACCAAGCACCCAAAGAGGTTGACCTGAATCACTCCAACGAGGGTAATTATTATCAAGGGTAAAACTGACATGGACTTGTATCTATGGAGCTCAAGGAGACAACTAAGATGAAGTTCCAACTTATTTTATCAAGCAGTCAAGTGGTACAGACATCATAATAATACAGCAGCAGCAGTCGTGGCAACAATTTTCTCGTGTTTTTTCACCCTTCTTTTGGCTTTGTAAGGAGGGGTGAGTGGTGAGGAAGACTACCTTTTCTGAGATGAAGGAAGATCTTGAGGAGATCTCCGGTTGCGTAGTATGCAGCAAAACACTAGACAGGTCTTGCAAACTCCTTCAAGTACAAAAGGGAGCAAACCCAGCCATGAATAATACAACTCTTTCAGAATGCATATCATGATTTTTTAAAAACGCCAGAAACACATCTGGATGAAGCCTGAAGCAATAATCATGCCTTATAAAAATAGCATTGGTGTGCATGCTAAAGGAAACTAGAGCAGCGTACCTTAAAGTCCACAGCAAACCATCATAGGCATGCCCCATATTTGCATCACTCAGAATTCTACAACATAAAAGATATTCCACCAATGAAAGGCATAAAAAGTTCTCTGGTACAATACTGATGACGGGGAACTTATTTTGAGAAGAAGAAAAAAAAGCTTGCAGATTAGAAATAGGTGGATATTCATAACATTCTCAATGATAACCCAATGTCTGGCCAGGCCAATGACAAATGAAAAGTCTTCACACCATTTTAGTCACTTTTAATCAAGAACAACATACAGCAGACAAAATGTACTAGAAATCTAGAACAAAAGAAAAATAAGAGCAGTCAGCTAACTACACAAGTACATAAAAACATTACCTATCAAAGTTCAAGGAGATGCCTTCAAACCAAAGAATGAAAAGATCTTCACTCATTCGAGTGCAGTAGTTACGAGTGAGATGGCAAAAAACAGCATGCCTGAAATTTGGCAAAAACAGGCAAACATCAGGACTAAAGTTGGATGACTAACCAGAATTTACCATATTGAAGAATAAAGAAAAGAGACACCAAGTTCCATTAAGAGACCGCTCATGATAACAAAGTTAAAAGACACAGTTGTAGAGATTTCTTAAGTGCAACACCCAACCAAGTTACCAGATTTAAACAATTATAGACAATCAATGCATGCAGGTGGATCCTGAACCTACTTCATCATTAGCTTTAAAAGAAGTGAAACAGTACATAGCATGTCAATAAAGGATCTGCTCTGGTCGTTGCCTTCACATCATATCAGCAGAAACCCAACACCTCATTCGCAAGAAACTGTAAGCTAAGCAGACATTTTCGAGAACTCCTCGTACAAGCCCCAAGAGCAACATTTGTAACATAGCACGCCTATTCCTGATAGTACTTAAATATGGACACATTCAAGTGGGATAATTACACAAGGTCCAGGTTCCAACATTGTCAAAAGTACACAATATGTAAACAGGCAAAAGGATAATAGCAACAAATCATAATAACTCCTTTATGGCATCAGTGGGCTGATACTTACCATAACCATTTGCCCTTTGCGAGGGCTTCCTTTACTATTACAGATATGTGCTCCCTCTTTACACGCTTTTCAGATGAAGGAACTTTCATCGGACTTGCACAAGCCTAAGATTGATACCGCAGACATTTGTTAGGTCAAACAATAATATTTAAATTTAGGTATTTCCATCTATGTTCATCCATCTCGTCTAAACGTATTGCTCTTATAAAAGCTTAAAACACCATAATAGTACAAACTTGCAATAGCACAAAAGAGCTGTCCAAGGCCAAGTCCCATGACACCATGGGTTGAGTACAAGGTGGAGTGTTAATCAAAGAAGTAAATGAACAAAGTAAATCCTTAATGAGTACCCGATATAAGACCAAGGATGAAAGTTCCACCAAGCAATACTGTGAACCACTTAGCGCTCCACATTTGTCATCCTTCATTGTCTCTGCCCTAAGCTCGTATAGATGAAAATTATAAAGAAGATCATGATTACTTGAAAAGCGTGCATGACTCTGCAAATTCACTTTGCTTTTTCAATAGATCAATAAAGACAGAAAGAAAGAAGCAATCACTTCACTCACCATGGAACACCGACATTCGGTAGACTACCTTGATCTAATTCTTTGCATATCACATCCAGCAGTTCTTCTACCAAAGAACTTCCTTCAATATTACCCCTAGTAAGGTTTAGCTGCAACCTAGCATACAACATTAGAGCATCCTGCAATCACAAGTGCAAATAAATGTTTAAAAAGAAACAATTAAGCATAAAATTATAGATGGATAAGCAGAAAAAAGGATCCATAAGTAGGGCACTATAGCAGCAAAACTGTAACGGCAGCCAAGAACCTTGAGGCCGCGGTCCCGTGTAGTAAGCCAACAACGAAATACAAAGTTCCGGACAGCATCATGGATCTCTAAGCATTCATGGCTCAAATTAGGGCCACCATTTAACAGGTAAACATTGACACACTCCATAAGCTTACGTGAAATCTTACTCTCCTCCCTGCTCAAGTTGCAACAAGGTGAAATGCCTTCATCAGACAAGACAATCAAAAAAGTGAATAAGAAAGAGAGGAGGGAAGCGTATTTCATGAAACTATTTATATACCTTACACACGAAAATATCTGAACAAACCCCTTTGCAATTTCCACTCTAACATCTTCTCCCAAATCAGCCGGAGGATTTTCCAGAAGGGAATGCAAAGTCAGAACGCAGCGGAAGACCTCCTCTCTTGGAACACAGTGACTATCATTTTGTTCACTTAAAGTTGTTTCCACGCTCTCAAGGTAGAAATGGATCAGATCTGAGAAATTTAGAGTTGGGTATGTTATTAAAAAATTGAAGCCACTGGGAAGTGACATAAGAATAAAATGAACTCCAAATATAGGACTTACTAATATAGATTTTTTTCCTCAAGTGAAAACGATAGTCTCCAATAATCAAAAGAAGACGAAGAATAATGCCATATTCCGACTGAAAGCTTGGGACGCTGCTCAGGACATCCCACAGGTGATTAAAGAGGGGTTTTACAACAGGTAACAGAACTGGCATCTTGCCTGGAAGCAGCAGAATGTGAATCCAAAATAGATTGGTAAACAATTTGGATAACGCAAACAAACTAAACTAATATGCTGATAAACAGCAGCATATAATGTTAGTTCCTATGGCGATACATTCAATCTCAGGAATGCAAACCTGAGAATTTAACATCTTCAGCTCGCTGAACCACAACACGCAGTGTTTTTGCAAAAGCTGACTTCGGCAACCGCTTTTTGCTGGATGATATTTCTGACGACACGCACTGGATAAGCAATGTAATAAGATACGGCCATGTTTCAGCTGCAGGAACCATTCACAGTTCAATCCTTCAACATGGACAATCAGCCAATGAAACAACCAACTACCGCAACCCACATTCTACTAGTAAGAAGGATTTGTGTATCTTACCATGAGGAATTTTATCAGGATTAAGCTTCATGGAGTTCTGCGAAAGGTAACTGCAGAATCTTACCGATCTTTCACCTTCCAGCCATGTATTTAACAATTTTAACCCATCCTACACCCGGAAAAAAAAATTTGAGCATCAAAATTCTGGGAAATGATATCATAGAAATTGCAGAAATGAAAATGAACAACAGAGTACTCAAAGCTCCAATTCATGCCTGCTCTTGCCCAGTGACCAGAAGGTATTTCAAAAATGCTCAGTCCTAATTCAACGCAGTAAAACTAAGCTGGAGTATAAAACAAACTGTATATGACTGAGTCAGGACTTGTTAATGGCAACTTAATTTTGATCGCCAACTATTGCTATCTACAAATGCAATCATTTCCTCCAATTATTATCAATCAGCCAAACAATCCCCCGCCAAGGAACAGAAACAAAGAGGCAATCATCCCAACTGAAAATTCCGGCGGTATTCAAGGGAACTAAAGGGACGTTATCGACCAGTTATCATCGCTGCTAAACCTAGGCATTCACTTGCTAAAGAAAGAGAAACCAAACACGAAGCATAAACAAAATGTAGAATCCGAAAGAAGCAGTGGAGAAAGAGTGGGCTTCTGCTTACTTCCCGTGCTTTGGCTTTGTCGGAGGAGAGCTTGGAGACGATCTCCTGAACGTCTCTTGAAGTGACCATCGCTGCCGCCAAGAACGCGGCGACTGCTTCAGAGACTTCAGAAGAGCTAACGCGGAGAGCGCAAATCGGGCGGGAGAGGAAGGGGATGACGGAGGGGAAGGAGATGGGGCCGGGGCAGGGAGCACAAAGTTGAGGTTTTGGTCTTATGGGGTTTAGCAGGCTAGTAGCAGTAGGATAGGACTTGAGTCCATGGGCGTCAAAACGGTGCTACAACCGGTTCAATTGGTAATGGTTTGGTACCAGATACAAACCGGCCGAAGTGGTAACAAGGTTTCAACCGGTTTATCCCATTGTATCGGTTATCGAGTGAATGATTCGACTGATGGTACAATCAATTTGTTCCGGTTCATGCTAGTTTATCAAAATATGCAAAATTGTGAAAATCATTAATATCAAATGACTTTAATAATATATAAACCATATTTGAAAACAATTGCGAGATTCCTAATAAGAAAACAAATACTCAAATTTAAATACAACATTTAATGTCAATACCTAAACGTTAATACTTGAATCTAGGGTAATTTCTATTTTTTATCCAAACTTTTTTCAGATTCTTTTATATTATCCAAACCTATTAAAATTTTATTAATTAGTCAAATCTTTCATAATGCATCTAAATATTAGCCATTTTTACTTTATTGTTAATAATTTTGAAACTCTTTTATTAGTTAAAATACTAAAAATTTGAAATGTTTACCTTCGTGTGTCTCTTCCAAGTCAGTATCATGTTGCCAAGTCAATATTACTAATAAAATTGCTAACTGGAAGTTAACATTTGGCTAATCCTTAGTATTTCGATATATTTGGAATATATAAAAGAATCTGAAAAAGATTGGGATAAAAAATAGACATTACCCATGAATCTAACAAATAACATCAACTATTAACTTTTAAATTCATAAAATAAATGATAAATTAAGTTTTTATTAATTAAAATCACTTAGACAATGTCATTTTCCTTAGAGATCGCAAATTGGTCATGAGGGTCATGCTAATGGTGTTCACGCCGGTTTCATAACCAACACAAGTTGAACCTGATTCAATCTTCCAGCATGCCACTGGCGTGACAAACATGAGTAGTAGTCAAAATCGGTAATATCATTTAAAACTATATAAAATCGTAAAATATAACGCTCTGGCAAATATGACCAATTTTCAATCACTACACAAAATGATTTGGTTTTGCTGAATTTAATTAACAAAAAATATGTATTTCAATACAATGAATTGTCATTTTGGTTTGTGTATAATGTTGTATTTTATTTAAATATTAATATGGATATTATTATTTTTTGGATAAAGTTAAATGTTTGGATATTGATGTTAAATGTTTGGATATTGATGTTAAATATTGTAGTCAAATATTATTATTTTTCATTTTATTTGTAATATTGTATTTTATTTAAGTATGAATGCAGCTTGTAAAGATATTGTTTTGATATAAATTATATATATAGTTTAGGGCCTCGTGCGCCTAGTCGTCGGATTCCTCAGCTGATGATAAAAAAAAAGGATAACTTATCCTTCAGTCTCCAGACCTTAGCCCAATGGCTCTTTTGACTCCAACAACTATTTTTTCCAAAATTTACTATAAATAAATACCAATTCTTCACTTATAGTTGCATCAACCTCCTCAATTTTATCTCCTTCTCATCATAAAAACTTTTCTCTTCTTCTCGTCAAAATAAAGAGCTATTCTTTTTCACAAACTCTTGTTCATGGCTCAAAATAATCGACCTCCAAATTGGAAGGAAGATGGAGATGAAGTGTTATGCAAGGTTTGGATTCAAATTTCAGAGGATAGTTCTGTCGGCCACTATCAATCCACATCCGAGTTTTGGAGGCGATTTGGAGTCATGTTTGTTGCTAAAGGATTTGGGATTTCACGTGTCGACACATGCCTGGCTGCTCGACGAAAGACCATCCAACATCAATGTGGGGCGTGAAATGCCGCATCAAGAAGGGCAAACGCTACACCAATGAGCGGGGAGAACCTAAGTGATGTGGTTAGTGAAGTTCTTACAATTTGTTGTTTTGTGTTTATTTTTTTATCATATGTTGTTTGTACTTATTTCTACAATCCAATTAATTGTCTAGGTTGATTGGACGACAAATTTTTTTGTAGCGGACACCAAAAAACAATTCAAGCTTATGCATTGTTGGAGTATACTCTATTGTTGTCCTAAATTTATGCAACAATTTTATGCATATGTGGCTCCAATTCCACCCCTCGGTGGATCTTCATCCGGCATGTCATCAGGGAAAAGTGATGGTGCCGAAGTTCAAGCAAACACATCTCCTTTTGTTATCAATCGTCCAGAAGAAGAAGAAGAAGAAGAAGAAGAGAGGAACATCGTATTCTTCCACCAAAAGTTGGGATAAAAATATGGCCAATTTGGTGGAAAATTTAAACACGAATGCAAGATTAGCAATAGCAAGAGAGGAATGCGAACGTGCAAGGGGTTTGAGGGAATATGACAAGCATGCGATGAAGGTAATGAGTATGGATCTTTCTAAATTGAGCCCTCAAACTAAAGTTCAGTATCAAAGGAAGAAGGATGAAATTTAGGCTTCGTATGAAACCACTACAAAGTTCGTTTAATCATTCATCAATACAACTTAGCAATTCATTCTTCCAATATATTTCATTGTGAGCATAAACACACGTCAATAATAATTATCCGTTTATTACAATCATATGTACAATGAACTAAACCTGTAATTCAGTATCATTAAATCACACATAACTCTCGAATCTCAATTTAGTTTCATTATAATTATTCATCAATACAACTAAGCAAATCATTCTTCTAAGATATTTCATATGAGTATAAACACAAATTAATAAGAAATAGTAATTTCTTATAATCACATTAATCATTATAAATTTTGGTTCAAGGGGGAACCATGACCTTTATTTATTTCCGAGGGGGTTGAGGCTCATTGAGTCAAGGTAAGATTCACTATATTATACTTAAAATTTTGATATTGCTCGATATCTTGATATATATCAATTCCAATCTCATATCTTGAATATCGAATACTACTAAAAATCAATCTTTATCACAAATTCAAAAAATTAATTATGTAATTGATAATACAAAATAATGATAAATTCATGTGGTATTTTGTGTATCCCAAATACTAAAACCAAACTACCACTCCTATTATTGCAATCCTTGGGGTTGGTCATGACTTTCCAAGTAATGGTTAATTACTAATCAATTTAAATTACTACTTGTTAAGAATGGATAAAACTAATATGCACATGGACACAGTTACATGGAATTGTCATAAACCAGTTGGTCCCAATAACTCGAGTTATTGAGAGAAAGTTATGCTGGATCTTATACCACTCTCTAACACGCCCCCTCAAACAAAAGCCAACTTACGGGCTTGAAGTTTGCACATGCCACCATACCTTGTGCTTTAATCAACTGTTAATATTGGGGGTCGTGGAGATTCGAACACACGACCAATTGGTCAAACCAAACTTTGATACCATGTCATAAACCAGTTGGTCCCAATAACTCGAGTTATTGAGAGAAGGTTATGCTGGATCTTATACCACTCTCTAACATAACCATGTGTTCTCATTCCTTAATAATATTTACTATGCATAGTAACTTTTAATTACTCCTAACCAACCACTATCCAAGTAAAATTCATTAAATCCCTCTATAATATATAGCCGTTCTTTAGGAGATTTTGAACATTTCAAATTCCTTGCACTCTCCTTAATTGTAGCTAGGGGTAAATTTGTAAGTTCAACTTAGAAATATCTTCTTACGAGGAAAAAAATGTCATTACCAAGACTTGAACTCGAGTCCTTCAAATTGATAGTCAATATCCCTAACCAACTGGACTACAACAAAGTTTATGTATTTTTTGAATTAAAGAGAGAAAATACTGAAATATCTCAAAACTATAGGACTATCCATCGCAACAATCAATCATCGAATTAATTAATAACTGTAATTATTTACAAAGTGAATCATCATGATATACCTAGCTTTATGAATCAACTAAGTGAGTTCCTCTAATCACACAATTCTTCACCAAGAATCAAATAGTACATTTTGAGTTGATGTATGTCTTACAACTTTTACATTCATTAGGTTACATGACTTTGTAGTTTGTAGAAATACAAGGATTGTTTACAGAAGTGCTATACAAAATTTTATTTCAAAACATAAAATTTGACAGTTGTGATCTATGGTTTTGTAACGAAACATTTTCAATGCTATAAGTGAATGTCCAAAAATCATAGGCTAACAATTTCCCTAACGGTTGACAATTATAAGCATAGAATTGAAAGACTAAATACCATTGACAAATGAGTCAATTATCATTGGCTAAATTTAACAAACAATGGTACACGTGTATATACATTGTAAATTCTATGGTACGCTCGATGGATTGAGAGTTATTGCATCTCCTTAGTTAAATAACATTATCTAGACCATAGATTAATCACGTAACTAAACCCTATATCATAATTCTCTAAATCCTAATATAGTGCATATTGCATATGGTATGTTGTATACATCTTGACGAATCAAAATCATTGATTATGTTCTTAGTATATGTGATATTAGGGTTTAAGTTCTATAGGTTTAGGGTATATGATTTAATTATTTTGAAACTTAATCTCCCTTTTCAAATTTCCTGCAATGGGAGGGAAATAACGAAGAAAATTTTTGTCTACACAATTATCTGTATTTTTTATTTATTTACAGAAAAAATAGACATATTGAGATTTAAACCATGGTCACTTCAAACAAAGTGAAGGTTTAAAATCAATCAGACTATGTAGATTTGTTGTATTTTTTTAAATTAAAAATATATACGAAGCTGAAATATGAAATCACAAAACTTTTCAACAGCTAGCTAGCCCAATAAATTTGGTAAGTACTTATTTGGTGTTTTAATACTTCAATTTTGATATTTTTTATTTTAATTATAGTTTAATACTTAAATTTAAAATTTTATATATCTTATAAATAGACGATAACCATAAATTTGCAACCAAAATATTGTTGGTTCGATTATTTCATATCGAATTATAGTATTGAATATGTAGAAGCAATATAGAATTCTTAAATTACCATTAATTTCCAGAACTATAGTGAAGCAATCATATCTTTGTGCAAACTATAGGGGACTGGTTCTCTGAACATTTTTGTCCGGTTAAATACTAATCACCTAATTCATATACCACGATTTTGAAAACAATAAATACAAACTCACCCAAATAATTTAGAATTTTAACGATTTGTGTCCTCCATACCAAATGAACCAATTTACATGTCGCTTAACTAAGGACTATCTCATTGTCCAATCCCATCATTCTAATGTCAATCCATGAAAGTAACCCATATTCGCGTTTGTTAACACATGTTTCATATTGTCATTACTGTGACCGGTAACTTCGCTGCAACTGATTCAGCATTGCTCATCATATGGCCTCCAAACTGATAAACTTATCGGGCCAGCAGTTTATGACAAAACTCAAAGTGAAGACAACTCATCGTTTGGTGGAATTTTGGTGCTTGCTGGTGTCCATTAATCTAATTGCAAGCATAATGATTGCTAAAATTAAGCTTTCACACAACACACTAGGAGTTGGGGGTGTACTTGGAGTAAAAGTTGATACTGGGTTTGGGAAGGGATAAAGGGAAGTGGTGAGAGGAAGAAATTGTGTTTGGATTTGGTAGCAGGTAAAGTTCATGGTTTGGTTTCTTTTCGTAAAATGCTTTGATTTATTTTAGTTAGAGGTATAATATCATGATTATGTGGGATCAAATGAACCAAATATGAGCTTGGGGGATGAGAATTCCAACTTAGAAGGAGTGGATTAGATTTTGATAAACTCAAGTTCGTGATTAACTGAAAGAATATTTAGATTTAGACTTTGTGGTATTGAGATGTTCATAGAGAGTTTAAAACTGATCCAAGGCCATGGATTGATATTGGTTAGTTGATTGTGATTTTGAGGAAGGTGTATAAAAACTTAAAAAGTCATGGAAGTAGTTTGCAGCAAGTGGAGGCAGTGAAGAGGCAGTTGGTCAGGGTAGTGATTGAACCAAGGAGGGTATTGAAAGACATAGAAGCAAAATCGGAGCAGTTGAAGAGAGAGAAGTAGTAGATGATCAGGATATTAATGAAAATGGAGAGGGTATTGAAGGGCATGGAAGTGAACTGGATAAGGTGAAGGCAGAGAAGGAGGAGAAGAGCATATTGATGGAATTGAAGATGAGTGTTGGTTTTACGAGCTTATTAAAACTACCCTGAGGAAGATGAGTTGGCCAAATACAAGAAAGAGGATTGAAGAGTTGGAAATCAAGCTGACAAGAAACCAATTGAAAGAGAAATTCAGGTTCATGGAGAGAAGGTCCATCAAAGTAGCATAAATGGAGTTGCAGAAGGAGGATTAGAAATTGAATTTTGGTTTAAAACGTATACATCGAGAGATTGAAGATGGAGGGGATAAAAAGTTGGTTGTACAACGAAGAGTGGAAACTATTGGATCTTTAGGTGTTATGGTTGTTGCAACTACCACAACCTATGTTTATGTTAAAACGAGGAATCATTGATTGATTTACTAAAGTTAAGGTCGGATTCACTATTCAAACTACTGGAACCTGTAGATAAGGAGTGTCTAATTTTGTGCCTTATTACTTTGATCGAGTCTATTAGTATATTGGATGTAACTCTAATTTTGTCATTTGCTTTCAAGTATTGATGGTCTCCTTTTAGTTGAGTTGTTAGCATATGATTTACTTGAATCAACAACTCTTCATTTTTGTTTATTTTTATAAATTCATTTCTTTTTTATTAGTGGCATGTTATTCATAGGGGAGAGATTTAAACCATTTATGTGGGATTGTGAGGTTTCATTTGAGTTTCAAACTATATATGGATCGTGTGAGAATTCCAATGAGCTTTTATATTATATATTTCTAGACAATCTATTAACCAATATCATTTTAAAGGGGGCTCAATTATCATTATGAAAATGGGATTAATGATACATTTTTATATTCTTAAATGAGGAGGGTATTTTCCTAAATGTTTGACCTATATATTCATTCTTTATGTAGAATCTCGATTGAATGATTTTCAATAAACTTAAACAAATTAATAGACTGAAACATAACATAAAAATATAAATATTAAAATATAAACATTCCGGCCAACGGGCCGGATTATAAGCTAGTGAATTAAAGTAGCTAAATTAGTCTGGCCACTATTTAGACTACCTCGCGGGAGAACTCCATATTCTATACTTCTTGAATCATTAGTATGTTTTGTTCCGACCAAATTAGTTATGGTATGCTCGTTGTCCAAGTTTAAATGTCATTAATATTACATATAGAAGTTGACTTGTGCACAATGACTTAGCACCTAACTGTATGTTAAGTATCATTAGCTCCGATTAAACAGGGATTTGACGACCAACACTGTTCGATTTTGTTATTATTATAGATTTTGTAATGTTTGTCCATAAGTTTGAAAAAATTATTCAATCCCAAAGGTTAGCGATTTATTGAAAATTTTAGTCCGTTCTCTAATAACGTCAACATTCATTTAAACAAAAAGTGCTATTTACTTCTAATTAACGTATAAACATTTTTAGGTAAACCGTCGCGAAGTGTCAACCAATTATCTAGTTTTCGATATAGTGCGAAAGTGTTTTAGCCTACTCTGATTAATTCATGAGCTATACCCTTAACAAGAATAAACCATTATAAATTCATATCAATCAATGATCTGATTAGATCACAGATTAAATAACAACAGCCCAAAGCCATGATCAAAGTACGTTTCTGGTCACTTGTAAAGGAAAAGTGCAGTCTTCTCAGCAGGGGGCCCAATTTTTCAATTCCTCATCCGGCCCTGAAAGAAGTACAAAAGCAACAAAGAATGATCGAAAGCCCCAAAAAAAAGAAAAAAAGAAGGAAAGACAAGAGATTCGTCGTCATTTGTCGTTAATTCCAACACATACAAACCATTCTTAATTTTCGACAGCACTAGCTACAGATCGTCCTCGAGATTACAACACAATAACCCTACACCTACATACATAGCTTTGAATTTCGAACGTCTTCTCACACTCCACCAGTCACCCTCAACGACACATGCAACTCACGATCAAAAGACAGAATGAAAAATTAATTAATAAAGACAAAAAGGCATGCAGAGATAATTCAGTCGTAAATTTGGTGCTCCAACAAACATTCCCCATTCACACCTATAATTATCCCCTCCTCCCGCCGCCTCGAAACCTGCCAAAGCACAGTCAGATCTGACTGATCATCGAACCTTCCACGTCATCAGCACAGGACCATTCATCATATCATCACCCTCCTCCCTTTCTCTTTTTTTTTCCACCCCGATCTCAAAGCAACTAATTAAAGCACCACTACTTGATCCAGATACAATAATTAGTTAAACTAAACGGCCGGTAAGCGAGATTCTGCATGTGTGCTTAATTAACGTGCATGTTGCATTACAAGAGAGGATTGGTGGCGGCGGCGGCGGTGGAGGAGCCGCCGTTATAACCATTCATCACGAGATGATGATGGTGATGAAGATGGTGACGATTCACGGCGTTACTACTGTTAGCATGAACAGTACCGTTATTGTTCCAAGCCCCGTTGAGATACCCGAACCCAGTAGGAGTTTCCTCGTGATCATGATGTTGATGATGGTGGTGGTCTTGCTGCCAGGTGTCAAGTGACAAAAGCTTGGCCGTCGTCGGCTTCACATCGTCGTCACGAATCTCCACGTTGTTGTTGTTGTTGTGGTCGTGGTCGTAAGGCAGCATCAACCTCTGGCAAGTCTCCATGAAACTACTCATCCCAGCAGCAGCAGCAGTGGCGTAGTTATCATTGTCGGAAGGTTCACCGGTACCGTAGCTCATCATGCCATGGAAATTACCACCGAGCCCTCCCAACCCCAGATTCTGATGACGATGATCATTATTGGTAACAATATCAGTAGCAGCAGCACCGTTCCCCATGAAATCATAGTTGTTAGCATTCCTGCCGACGATGGCCTCCAGCTTGCTCTCCAGGAAGTCAATCGGCTCGGCCATCATCACATTGTTGTTGTTGTTGTTGTTGTTGTTGTTGTTGTTGTTGTTGTTCATCATGAGACCAATATTGCCACCGCCACCAGCCATGTTGCCGCTGCTGCTGCCGAGCAGCAAGGAGTTGAAGTACTGGTGGTTGTTATGATGATTCATGATGAGGTCATGGTGATGCAGATGTGACGAAGACGAGGAAGGCGAGGACGTGGCCGACGATGAGTTTGAATGCTTGTTCTTGCTCCCGCTTGAGGATTTCTTGGACTTGCGGCAGCCGCCGCCGACGGGGATGTTGCGGAGGGTGCCGCCTTTGGTCCAGTAGCGGCGGCAGGTCTTGCAGAAGTAGCGGGGCTGGGTGAGGCTGTAGTTGTTGTAGTAGCAGAACTTGGTGTGCGTCGACTCGCACCGCGGGCATTTCAGGGACTGGTCGTGCGGCGGCCTCAGCCGCCGCTCCATCATGGCGGCTGCCGCCGGCCTCGAGCAGGCGGCGGCCGCCAGCATCATGTCACCTCCTCCGCCGCCGCTTAATGGGGATAAGGACGACGAGGAGTCCATTATGATTCCCGACTCATCCTCCATCGTGCCCTGAACCTATATATATGTATGTATAAAATAAATGTTCATACATGGAAACTAATAAGGACAAGAAGCAAAAACGAAGAAGAAATCAATGGAGTACGTACCTGGAGCCAGTCAGCGGAATCCATGCAAACTTGGAGAGAAGTAAGCCCCATCACAAGAGAGCAACCGGCCACTGATTTAGTGAACAGAGAAGCGTGGAGAAGAAGAAAGGATCAGAGGGGAGGGAAATGACAGATATATTGGAGAAAGGGAAGAAGGGAAACAAAGCGAGTGTTTGTGTTGTGTGAAAGAAGGGCGGGGGGGACGTGAATAAGAAGGCATGAAAAAGGTTGCCTTCTCCCGGAGGCAGGCAGGCAACCCCACCACCACCACTACTAGCTAGCCAGATAGCAAGCAGTACTACTACTGTCGCTACTTCCCACTATTACTCCAAAAATCGTACCGTACAAGCAGTCCGATTGAGGAAACCGTCTATCGAAGGTTGAATCGATAGACTATTTTGATGGATTGAACAACAGTTAAATTCACAGTTTCAGTATAAAATATCGCACCAGTGACTTTTCGTGTGTACAAGTTTCGGTACAGTTTTGACGGTTTTTGGTACAAACTACAAAACCATTCCTCCCGCCGCATGCCACTCAGCTATTCTTTGAGATAATATAATTAACAGAATACAACATGTTTTTTTTTTATAAGTCGGTTAATTATCAAACAAATCTAATGGCTGGTCGAATTTCAAAGCATGCACGCTGGGAAATCCAGATCTTTGTCGTATCCAAAGCATGCACGCTTTCAGAATTTGATTGTCAGTTAATACGGTGTAAAATCACGGTGTTCAAACTTAAAATGCTGCCAATAATATTAATTAAATTCTTATAGAAAAACGAAGAAAATACGACAAATGAAATTTCAATAGACAAAAAATATAAACTGGGGCGGGAGACTACGGACTGCGGAGGTGGGTCCGGGATGTACTGGGTTTATTATTCACAGTCGGTGAGGTGTGGTGGGCTTTACAACATTCGGTGGGCCCCCACTATGTCCGTCCCAAGGATGCCATCCGGGGCCCACTATTATTAGAATGGGAATCGGGATTTTGGATTGGAATCGACGGTGGAGATGTGAGCGTGGTTGGTGAGATTGGGAAAACGCCGAACCGTCAGATTTCTCCTTGGACGTCATAGAATCGCCGCGAGGTCGGCGTCAGATCAAACGAGAGGGACTCTGGGAGCAAGGAGGAACAAGGAAGGAGACAAGTGTGAACTGTGGAAGTGTATGTGTTTTGTGTTGACGTCAAGGAAGATTTTGCACCATTTCTGTAGACCGGAGTCGATTGAATCCGTAGTTGTTTCAGGAAAAAACGTCTCAAAAGAAAAAGGGAATTGTGGTTGGATTGAAATCTTAATATTTTAAACTGATCCGGGCTAGCTCGTTAATAAACGAGTCCAACTCGGGTTCGGTTCGTGCTTGAGTCGAGTTCAGTTGGAGCTCGACTAGTTAATACGTTCACGAGATCTACTCGATCAAGCTTGTTGCTCGTCAATTAGCTCGCAATGCTTGGTGCGAGCTCATATTCATATTATTTAGTACTGTTCATGATGCAATATTGCAATGTTATATAAAGTAATTAGTATCTACACAATCTATAATACATAATTTATCTTTTGAATTCTAAATAAGACATATTTACTCACATACTCATAGTAGTAAACATAACTTGTAGGCTTGTAGCAAGATATATAATAATCTAACATATTTATAAATTATCAACAAGTTAACTCATAATTTATAGAATGAATTTATCGTAAGCAGCTATTTGAACTGGCATGTTAGCCACACTGTAAGTCAGCTTACGAACTCAACGTGAGCCATCTGATCATGAGCTGAGTTCAACTAGCTACCGCGAGTCTAGCTGGTTCATGACCCTAGTGAGCGAAACAAGACATAACTCATACTGAACTTATTTACTAACGAGTCAGGTGTCGAACGAGATTTTCTCGAGTCGAACATCAAACCGCTCGTGAAATTCGATTAGCCAAACTTTGTGGTGGAGGGGTTAAAAACTTAGTAGGGCGGTTTTCGATAAAGGGGCAAGAAGGCATATCGAAAGAGCACTCAAACTTGCGGGACCAAACATCCCCACCACCGCCACCACAATTCAAAGACTAGGACAGGACAGGACTGCACTTCCTCCATTTTGCAAAAAAAAAAAAAAAAATCGATCGGACCCCACTCCATGCATCCTCTTCCCACAAGCAAAGGATCGATTCCTCATGCTCCCACAAACAAACTGCCTCCCCGCTTCTATTTCTGGCACTATTTCTTCCCCTCCCCCTTTTTCCTTCAATCATGACACCATTCTTGGTGGGACTACTTGTGCAATTTCTTTACTAGTCTACAAAAGGACTCATATGTGTTAACTTAAACCAATTGAGCTTGATTGATTCAAATCATAATCTAGGGCTACAAATCCCAATGAGTTCACATTGATTTCAATAATCCAACCAATCATCGACACATCATTTGTTGATGATCAGTCCAAAATTTGAACTAGGTTTAGCAACACGAAGAGAGTGATTGTTGACTTTCAATATACGAATCTGGCCGGAGCAGATGACGTGATTGATCGAACATATTGGAAGTGGAGAGAGAGAGCGTACGTACATGGTTTGAAGAGTAGTAGGAATGATTAAAAGAAGAGGCTGAGTGTTGAAAACAACCTCTCGGGGCGATCTTATTGCAGATCCGGATAATAAAATAAGAACATGTCATATGAATTACTACTTTGGCTTCTTTTTTTCTTTTTTTAATCTGGAGAATGGAGATCATAGGTTTGAGTTGTCAAGAACCAATTAGTCCCAGTAATTCGAGTTGTCGGGAGATGTTCAAAATGGAACATCTGCCGTTACTAATACACCCCCTCAAACGGAAACCATTAACATAGGCTTGAAGTTTGCACACTTATGTGCTTAACAGAAAAGATGGGGGTCACTGGGATTCAAACAGAAGGCCCTCTCGGTCACAGAGCCTCTACTACAATGTCAAGAACTAGTTGATCCAATAACTCGAGTTATTGAGAGATATTCAATGATAAATCATATACAACATGAGTCTCTTAAGCATGGTCCATGAAATCGCATCGTACCGACGGTTCAACCACGAAATACCAGTATCGGAGGCTAAATCGGCAGGCGGTATTTAACAGTCTAACGGTTCAACTACGATAAAACCACAGTTTTATCATAAAATATCACACCACTGACTTTTCCGGTACGATACCCGGCACGGTTTCATGGACCATGTTGTTAATTAACAACAAGTAACAATAAAAACAAACTTATGTCATCATTATAATGATTCTTTGAGTTTCTTTTTGGGGGGGTTCAAAATTGATTTGAGGTTTGATGCTTGCAGTGAGGAATTCAAACGAGATGCTCTCCCCTTGGCGGGGGCAGCTTTCCTTAAACATGTTACATGTTGATTGGAAGCCAATTTCCAGAGATAGAGGGAATTCGCGCGCTTTCCATGCATTTGGGTTGCAACTTTATATTATACGTTGTTTCAAAAGTAATAAAGGTTAAATATACTTAAGTAATCCTGTAATTTATATGCCAATTAAATGATGATTCTGGAAATTTCGTACGTAAATTGTGGACTAAGGACTATGCACTTACAATATAAAAAGTTCCTACTTAATTAACAACTTGTTTTTAAGGAAAACGGCTTACTTTTATCTGTGTAAATCAATGACAAATGGTTTAGAAAAGGGATTTATTGGGTCATTTAGTAAATAATTACCCAATGCTCCATATTGACTCCTTTATCTATTGGAAATAGAGATAACGTATCGATCAATCATTTACCATTTTCTGGTGATTACTTATAAAAAAGAGATAAATCACAATTGTCATGATATCGAATTTCAATCACAAAATACTAATGTAATATATTAAGTCATCTTACATCCACATGTCGGGACGAATCAAACAAAGACAAAGTTTGTTAAGAGTTTAAAAGCATTATAGTTTTTGTTCAAAATAAAGGTTCTTTCAAATGATAATTAATCTTGGATAATATTCACATATACAAAAAAAAAAAAAAGATAAAATCGTAAAGACCAAAACGGCAGGATCAGATGAATAAAGTGCACTTCCATGCACCTTTTGTCAAGCACACTTCTCCTTCCCAGGACTGAGGGCCATGTATGTAGGCAATGACCAAAACAAAATCATTACACAGCTTATAGAACTTCAATGAGCCAATACAATCATCACACTGTGATCATCATAACATCATTTGTTTAAGCAGAAGAAAAAAAAGCTGGAGTAAACTCTGGCTTATTCTCCAATCATTGTGGAATGGTAAATAAATTTACTCTTTCTCTGTAAAAGCAAGCTAGTTTAGTTTGTTAGTTCACTAAAGGTGTGGTTAAATTTCACTCAATACCTGATTATTATGATTAAAAACCTTGGCATTAGACATTTTGATTATATTGCGCTAGAGTAATCATGACCATAATTCAACCACGGGTACGTACCTAGTCGTCATTTTTATAAAAATAAAATTACAAGGTCTGCAATGTGTGTTACGATTAGAGTTAAACCCATTTCTCATCACATATTCTTCAAGTTATAAATCCTAAATTCTTCCTGCTTCTCATTGTTCTGCATGCATATATATTCTCCTGAATAATATTATTAGCTTGAGTTTTTCAATTATAAAAGTAATGACCATGTAATTAACAAGCCATAGAATCCAAGAAACTTTGTTATAATCCATCGTGAATTCGTGATTGGAAAGTATCAAAAGAGGATGGGGAAAAAGGGGTTAAGAAAAAAAGGTGAGGATGAGGGTGGTAAAGAAGGAAGAGGAAAAAGGGTGTAAATTTACTGAAAACAATGGAAATAACCCTAGGCTATAAATAAAGCATTAAAAAGGAGAACGAAGGGATCTAAGTACAATACTAATCGCAGTTTTCATGTGAATGCAACTTTTTTTTTTCTCTCCTTCAAATGTTGCTTTTTTAATCTCTCCAAATAAAGCCAAAAGATGGGGAGAGGAGAGGGAATAAAGCTAGTCTTTACTATTGTATAATGTATAGTGTATACACATATATATAAATATGCATATATAGATCACCAGATCTCATTGGCTAAGAGGAGACAAATTCATAAACTTAATTGTCAATCCTACACATATAATCATATATGGTAGTGCTTGTTCATCAGCTAAAAATCTACAAGAAAATGTACAATTGATTTGATAGACCATTAACTTAATATCA